AGTTTCAAGATTTTCTTCTTATATTCTTTTCCTTGACAAATGATGGATATCATGTGTGTGAGAGTTATATAGGCTCAATTAGTAGATTTATAGAATTTATGTTCTCAAAATAAGATGATTCAAATTAATAAGATTTTATAAAATTTATGTTCTCAAAATAATATGATTCAAATTAATAGGATTATGTCAAATATTTTTTATATTGTTCTATTTTTGGCTCATCCATATGGTAATTTTTTTAAAAAATTATTGTCTGCATATTTTATTACAGAAAATAAGCTATATGCAAAATAATGGGATTAATGACCACAGATCTTTATCACTAGAAAGGCAGAAAATATGGCCACATGCACTACTTGGTATAAGACCCTCAAGAACGTGGCAAACTGGTTAAACATGTAGTAGTCAACGATATATTTCCTTATTGACTGCTTGCTCCAAATTAGGTAAAATCATCTCTACTCTTAATAGTTTCATTTTGTAGGAAACATGTGCTCATCCTAATGAGCTTCAGATTCCTGATTGCACGAAATATCTGATGGAGATTTGAAGAGACTATCAGATAGAAATTATATTCCACCAAAACTGATTTATTATTTGATGAATATATACATTTCAAGAACAATCTAAGCTGGTTGGATCAGCTTTGGAGATTTGACGCTTAAAATATAGAATCTCTATTTGTATATGTTGTAGATGTTATTCTTGTCGGAGGCATTGTGTTCTTGCCCAAGGTTCCAAGATTTCTTGGCTTGAAATTATGTAAGGGTGTGGTCGGTGACCCACGTGGCAGTAAAATAAAAATTACAAAAAATAAAGAAAAAATTAAAGGTTTCTTAATTTCTTAATCTCCGATACACTGTTTCACAAGAGATTGAACCACCGGCACATCACCGATTCATCAACTCTCTCTCACAAGCGACACATACGTCACTGTACATTCATTAAACAATGCATAAAGCCTAAGAAATGAGAAAACTATTCTCATATAGGAGTCATTATTCACACGTGCCAACATTAGTTTCTTCAAGCTTCTTCTCTCACACGTGTGGCTTCCTCTGCTTTCTTCTTTCTTGTATAGACATTCAGTGGCTTATCAGTTTCATACCCAACGGAGATAATTCAACCACATCAATGTCAATGTGCAACTTTTCCCGGATCTATTCAGTACTTCTGTTTAGTTTTGGTTCGGTCTTCCCTTTTATAAACAAAATAAAATTATTTTTAGTTTCATTACGATTTCAATTTTGTTTGATGCAATTTCGGTTTAGTTTGATTTGACTTTCCGTTTGGTTTTAGTAAAAAAAATTAAAACATACATTATACGATTACAATTTGATGAAAAAAACTAGTTAAATTTTGGAAGTTAACTTTGACGGTTGATTTTATTCTTCTTCCCTCTCTTGAAAGACTATAATTCCGATTTTAACTCCCATAGACGCGTATATAGCAGTAATATTATTGATTTTGGAACTGAACTTTAATAAACTAAGAGTTGAACAAATCAATAACTTATTATATAAAGATGAAAAACAAGTCAACAAAAATAATCAATATATAAGCAAAACATAAGAAAAATAAAAGAAAAAATGTTAAAAAGGGGAAAGTAGCCATTGTTTCCGGTTTTTATTTTTTTTTTTATCTTTGCTTTTGTCTATCTAGTTTATTTGAAGTTATGCTCTGCTTTTGGAATGGTAATAAATTTTCAGATTTTTTTTTTTAGTTTTGAAATTTTTCACTTTGATTTTAAAGCGAGTTAGCGTTGGTTTATAAACCGACTTACAACAATGCTGGTCCATGAACTAATAAATGGCTCTAAAAATGAGAAGCGCGTTACTAGTTAGTTAGATTCTAGAGACTTGTCAAATTTTTTCGTCGCTTTGCTTCGATTCCTTTGAAATCGATCGATCATATGCTTCAGATTAGGATTTGTATTTACATTCAAAGGCGTAATCATATCCTAGTTTGCTTGATCGATTCAAATGCCTCTCTTCTCAAATTGCGAGATCTATAAGGTATGTATAGTTGAATTGTTTGAGGATCAGTTTATCTAGAATAGAGAAAATTGAGTTATGCAAGTGAGTAGATTAGGGTTTCCGTCAAACTTGTTCTTCAATTTCGTTTAGAGATTGAGATTGTATGGAATAAATAATGTTTTCGGATTCGATGTTATAAAAGTTGACTAGTAACACATGTTATAAAAGTTGAATTACAGTCGATGTTATAATTTGATGTATTTGCTGTAAAACTTTATGTGGTAAATGTTTTTGGTAGTTATCAATGTAAATTGCGATGAAATAAGATAATATATATATTTTGATTATTTTATATATTTATTTTTTGCGGAATTATAGAAGATATGTTGGAATAGATGACGGAAAGTCAGAATGTGGTTTAAGGCTCCGTAGGCATTGTGACTTGCAACTGGCTCAATGTTTGCTTCTTTTTTCCCGATAAAAAAATATGTTTTTCTTTTTCTCTTTTTGGTCATATATGTTTGTTGAACTAAAATACAATAGTGATATTGAGTTTTGGGACGTAATAATTGCACTAGCGATCCAATTTTCTGAAATCATATTTGACTTAAAGCCATCAACTTGCTATTAGGATATAAGATAACGATTCCAACAAACAAATCGATCATTAATTCTGTATAAGTTATGAAACATTACATTAACCGAAAACTAAGATCATCAGATTATATATATATCTAGTTACTTTTTCTCTAATTAAGGTTTTCAAATCTCATAAAAAACTACACTAAACTGAAGATCCAGCCCGAATCAGACCTCGGGAATTATTATCCATAACTCTCGGTCACCACGGCTCCTGACCTCCTAGGCTCCTACCCATTTTAGGATCCACCAAAACAAGAAAAGAAGCGATTAACGCTACTTCCAGGAGTGGTAGGTTTGTGATATACGTGAAGCAAGGTATTTACTATGAATATCTTGAGATTCAAAATACGAATGTTATGCTGAGTGGTGATGGTAAAGGGAAGACGATTATCACCGGACGCAGAAGTTTTGTAGGAGGAACGACCACGTCAGCTAGGCCGGGTGCAAACAACAGACAAGCGGTTGCTCTAAAATCCATGTTGATCGATCCGTTTTCTACTAATGCAGTTTTGAAGGCTCATTTTACGTTTCACTCCAACCGCCAATTTTACCGCAATGGCGAGTAGAATAGCGGACGAATCTAGATTGCAATTCTGAAAGACAACCACCGCATGACCAAATATAAAGTCTACCATACCATATACGTCACATGATAGTGTGTACATATAAAATATCTTGGTAGCCATAAGCCATCAATACTGCACTTGTAGAAGATCAATGCCACGACTTCCCCATTGATCGGACCAGTCATGATTTGAATAGTCATTTTACGCCGATAAAGTTTAGGCCTAATGCAGTTTCCCATCTCATTTTTACTCACAGTCATAGACTCATAGTGGCACTAATCTTAATGCCATCAACTTCATTTTGGAAAACGTTTTTGGTAGTTATATATATCATGGGACTCGATTAAAGATTACAATTCTATCCATACGTTAGAAGTATTGATAACTTACCAAAAAAAACGAGCAAAAAATAAGAAAAAATCAAGAAACAAATAAGCAAAACATAAGAGAAAATTAAAGGACAATGACAGAAAATTAAACATATATTGAATTAAAATTGATACATCAAAAAGTATGATTATATGAAAATATCAACTACACTAAAATTGCAGCAACACAAAAGCCTTCAAAAAGAATTATGTGTATAACGATTGTCCTAGTTGAAATTTATGTGGCTTGTGTCAGGGATTAGACTTGATTACATATGAAATAACTAATTATCTACTTCTTGCCCATCGAAAACTAAGATCAGGATTCAGTTTATATATCTAGTCACTTTTTCTCCAATTAAGGTTTTCAAATCTCATAAAAAAAACTACACTAAAATTGAAAGATTAAACAATTTCATACAATACTCCAAAAATATAAAATTACTAAATTATCCATCATTGAATTTTTTGAAGCCTTTTTGTAGTGGCATGGGTTATAGATATTATCAAAGTAAAGCTTCATTTTAATCGAAAAACTTATCAATTTCTATATAGACGGTTTCAATTATAACATGTATAATAATTTAGTTTGTCCTCTTGCAAACAATACAATTAATCAGAGCAAACACATGATGAAGATTTCAAATTAATTACGTGGTAACATGTTAGAGATAACAAGAGCAATACCACAAAGATTCTTAATTGCCTTACTGTTATTCACAACCGAAGAATCTACTGATCTCAATCTCTTCACATCATCTAAACATGTATCAGCACCATCCAATGCAGCAGAAACTTTCATGTTCATCCCCATGCCATCTCCTGAAGCTAAATGCTCAAATGCTTCCTCGAGGTTTCCAATCGCGCTCTCGTATTCATCTAAGCATGATCGATAAGCTAACTTAGATCGAGGGTCGACTCCTCCATCGATAATAGATTGGAGTTTTTTGAATGTTTGTGTTGCTCTTGCTTGTGTAGCATCAAGTGTGGTTTTTGCCAAGGCTTGAAGATTAGGAGATGCAAATTTCGTATTGAGGAATTTAAGACAGAAAGATGGGTTTAAGGTTTTATCACAGATTGTGCTCATTTCTGAACTTGTGATTGCGTATGAGGAACCGATTAAGAGAAGAAACATAAGAGAAGACAAGAACGCATTGTTCCTTAGATTCGCAGCCATTCTTGTTTTCTCTTCTTATTTTTGTTTTTTTCAAGTTTATGATAGAAAATAAATTTCAAAGTAATGAGTATTTATTTATATAGAGTAATTTACGTACAACGCATTAGTCAAAAACAGAATCAAGAATAGAAGTTGATATGAACGATGAAGAAAGTTTTTACCATTGTTAGAAGAATTGCAAATATAGTAATACAGTTATCCATAAATTATGGTATTTATCTTTCTCGATAATATTAAGAGTAGATGACGATATCAAATTGTATGTGCTTAATTACCGTGAAAATGTTTATTAAGGATCAGGCTTAACCCCAATCTGAACATATGAAGAACATTAACGAATTAAAACAGTGTAGTAGTAACATCTTCTTTCAGCTCATTCCAAATCCATCAGAAATACAGGACAAACTGAAGGCTAAACCACAGTAAACCGAACCAAAATCCAACCTGGTTAAGATATCGATTTGGCTTGTCATAGGTGGCTCTCTCCTTTAAGGTCGTCCTAGTGTGGCATGTGTGATACATAAGAAATCAAAACCGCAAATCAATAAACCGAACAAAACCAAATCAGACCAAAGTGTGACATACCTTCTTCCCTTTAGATGTGAATAGGCTTGTCATAGGTGGCCATGGCAGCTTCCTTCAGCGCCTCACTCATAGTGGGATGAGCGTGACAGACTCGAGCAATGTCTTCACTTGATGCATCGTAGTTAATCGCAAGAACCGCCTCATGAATCAGTTCTCCAGCGTTTGGCGACATAATGTGAACGCCCAAGATCTTATCGGTCTCCTTATCAGCCAGAATCTTAACCAATCCTTCTGCATTATCAATGGCCTTAGCTCTGCTATTTGCCATAAACGGGAATTTTCCAACCCTGTAACTCACACCTTCTTTCTTCAGCTGTTCTTCGGTTTTACCAACCGAAGCAACCTCAGGATGCGTGTACACAACACCAGGAACCTTGTCATAATCCACATGACCGTGTTTGCCTGCTATGAACTCCACACAAGCAACACCGTCTTCTTCGGCTTTGTGAGCAAGCATTGGTCCTGGAATCACATCTCCAATAGCATACACGCCTGGGACATTGCTCAAGAATCTCTCATTCACCAGAATCCTCCCGGCTTTGTCAGTTTCCACTCCGATTTTCTCCAGATCAAGTCCAGATGTGAACGGTGTTCTTCCTGCTGAGACAAGGACAACATCGGCTTCCAGAATAGTCTGCTCTCCTCCTTCTGCCGGTTCCACTGTAAGCTTCACACCATCAGAGGAGGAATCCACGGATACAACTTTAGTCTTGAGCATGAACTTCATCTTTTGCTTCTCAAGTGAACGTTGAAACTGCTTACGGATTTCACCATCCATCGAAGGAACGATATCCCCAGCAAACTCAACTACCGTAACCTCAGATCCAAGCCTACCCCAAACAGAACCCATCTCAAGCCCAATATACCCCGCACCAATCACAATCAATTTCTTCGGAACTTCCGATAGAGACAACGCTCCAGTCGACGAAACAATCTTCTTTTCATCAATCGTAATACCAGGCAAAGACTTAACATCCGAGCCAGTAGCAACGATGATGTGTTTACCTTTCACAACAGTGTTTCCTCCATCGATCGTCTCCACCGAGACTTCATTTGGGGAAATAAACTTACCATATCCCTTAACATAAGTCACCTTATTCTTCTTGAACAAACCTTCGATACCACGAGTAAGGTTCTTAACCGCATTATCTTTCTGAGCTAACATAGCAGGAAGATCCACCTCAACCGAAGAGACCTTAATACCGTGGTTAGCGAACGAATGCTTCGCCTCATGGTACATATGTGAAGAGTGAAGAAGAGCCTAATACATCATCAAAAACACACAACAAACACAAACAAGAATTGTAATCAAGAAGACGAATCCAGAATTTAGTAATTATGGACTAAGTGTGCTCAAGCCAATGATAAATCATCACAAAAGACAGTAATTAACAATCCACAAAAGGCACAGATCAAAATCTTCAACGATGATCAACAAATTGATTGAAGAAACGAGAGGAGAATTTTCGAAATTGACCTTCGAAGGAATGCAACCGACGTTGAGACAAGTACCACCGAGAGCGCCGCGTTTCTCGATACAGGTGGTTTTGAGACCAAGCTGAGCGGCTTTGATCGCGGCTACGTAACCGCCGGGACCGCCGCCGATGATGACGACGTCGTTTTCATCAGATCCTGATGAGGCGAAGCCACGGGAAAGGGAAAAGGAGAATCTGAGTGCGTCAGTGGGAGAGTTGGATAAGTTTCTGGTGAGAAAGTACGCCTTCCTCCTAGCTAAACTCGCCATCGCCATTGTTGTTGTTGTTAGAGAGAAAGAGAGACTTGGCTCCTTGTAGAGATGAACAGAGCCGGCAAATGTTAAGAGAGACTCTTAAAACCCTTTTTCTCTTTTTAATCACAAATATTTTAATATTTCCTTAATTGACCAAATATATAAATAAGTAAATAAATCATTTATGTGAATGATACTTGAATTTTGAAAATCTCAATTATGTATACTAAATATTTGAAATTTATTACAAAGTTACCTTAATGAACATTTGATTTTTTATTTTTTGTCAACAACATTTGAATCACTTTTATAAGTTTTATTCATAAAAATACACATCTATGTAAGAAAAATACCAAAAGATATTTATGTATATGTAAATAAAGATAACAAAAAAACTGTATAGTTTAAAATTATCAAAAATATATATTATTTTCTCATTAAAAATATATGGACATAAAGATTTTTGGAGGGGAAGAAGATAAAGGGATAAAGATAGAGATGATGAGATGCAATGACATAAGGTTAGGATTGAGGCTTTTGAGATAAAACTCCAAAACCTTTCATAGTCCACAGAAACTCTCGAATTCCAAAGATATGGGAGAGAGAGATGCTTAAACCAACCCCATGCTCTCAGTCTCAGACAAAATCTAGATTCAAAATAGTTAAATTAAAATTCCTTAAAACAATCAATAATGGGTACTACAACATAACTAATCCTCAAGAACAAAAATGAAATCCTCATTATCAGTTTCAATAATCCTACCAAAACTTCAGGCTCCTTTTTCTCTATCTCTCTCTCTGAAACAACCAAGAAAAAACAGATCAATCAAAAATGAGTAACCACATTACAAACATGACCTTAACACTCTACCACTCTCTCTCAGTCTCTTATTTTATCTCATCATCCAATTGAATCTCAAATTAGAGAAATAATCGTTTGATCGGTAACACCCGATCCCTGTTGTTTGTATATACCGCCAAAAAAACTGCTTTCACTCGCCTCCAAGCATTGCTTGTAACCGAGCTCGGGCTTCATCAGAAACACAGAATCTTAATCTTCGCCTCTGCGGTTGTTTAGGTGAAGACGGGACTGAGGAGAAGCAGATGACTACAACCGTCATATTATCTGATGAGTTGAGTCTAGCTGCTTCTTTTCCAAGTTCCATCGCACATTGTCTCGGGTCACCATGCCTCCTTAAACCTTGCCTTACATTACTCACTGCATTCTGGCTTGACAACACATCCCATATACCATCACATGCCAAAATCAAGAACTCGTCGTCCTCTGTTAGAATGATCTGTCGAATCTCTGGGTCAGAAATCAGTGGTGAAGAGGAGTCAGTGAAAGGATTCTTCAGTTCCCAATCCCCAATAGCACGGGTGACAGCTAGGACCCCATTGAGGTATCCGTCCTCAAAGTATCCTCCTAAATCCTCAATCCGCCTTCGTTCTGGCTCATATGTTGATCTGTGATCGAAAGACATATCAACAGCCACTCCTCTCCTACATAGCACTGCACGACAATCTCCAGCATTAGCAACCAGAAGATGTCGTCCGATTATGAGAGCGGTCAAGGCGGTTGTCCCGCATGAACCACTGACAATGCTTTCATCAGCCATGGCAAGATCAGCCAAAGCAAAAGCCTTTCGGTGGGAATTCTCCAGTTCTTCCAAGAAAAACGCATCCACAATGGAGGGCATCTCTGGAAATACAGCATCTTGAAAAAACAATCTAGTCAAGTTCTCCTTCATGAAAACTGCTGCCTCAGGTCCACCATGTCCATCAAACACGCCATAAAAAGCACTTGGTACCGAGAAATTGAAGGACCTAAGATGAGCTGACAAGTCATCTATGCAAATGTGTTCATCTTCCATGGTTTCTCGGCTTCGAATGTCAGCAAAGCTCCCTGATCGTATAGTTGGAATAAACTCACTGGTTGATTCTCCAATGGTAGTAGTTACACAACTCATGCCCTGTTACAACGAAAGTACATAAAAAAAAATTGTTTAAGATTTCTGAACTTCGCACAACTAAATAAACAGAACAACCAGAACAGAGCAAAATCAACAACCCAAAGGGCATTAAAGTCGTTCCTCTAACAATGTAAAATGGACATCTAAACTAATTCTTCATAATATAGTAAAGGTAAAACTTTCCAAAGCACAACACTAATCTTATCATTTTGCATTGTCTACACGAATCTAAACGAAGAGGGTAGGAGGATTCAACATTATTATGCTACAGAGAGAAAAAAAAAACAAAACTGATATAAGCCCTGATGCAGAAATGGATCATTATCAGAATTTCAAGCAACGATCTAATCTCAAAACCTAATTATAACTCGTAATCTAAACAAACAAACTCAATTATGAGGAAGACGAATCAACATGATCCAATTTCAAAGGAAATTTCTAAGAAACCCAATAAATAAAAATGAGCGATTTTTAGAATAAGAAACCAAAACACATACCGATCCGAATCGAGGCGTTTCAGCAGAACCAGAAATCTCAGCACGAACAGACTCAGAAACACGAACTTCGTCGATCTGAAAATTCTTCTGATCTTTAGCAGCGGAGGAGATATGGCACTTAACGTCAAGAACCCTGATCTCAGCCTCAGCAACCATTGTTTGACTCAAAATCATGACTTGTTTATAATCAAATGGAGCAGATCCGATTGCGAATTTCACCGAAAGGTAAATCGAAGAATAAATGCACGAAAATGTGGGGGTAGAGGTGGTGCTTTGCTTGGACGCAATTGAAATTCGCCTAAAAGAATAAAGAAGAAGACAGGAAAAGGGGAATTAGGGTTTGGTTTCTGTGTTGGATGTTTATTTGCATATTCTGAATTGACCCATGCCTATATTAAAAATATAATATTTAATTAAATGCATTGAAGAAAAAAGATTGGTTTTAAATATTTATGTTGGACTAAAAATAAAAAGAATTTTTCAACTTTTTCGTCGGAAAAGGTTATTATTTTTTTTTTTGACGGCCGGAAAAGGTTATTATATGAATATCAATGGTGAATCTGAGTTTTGTAAAAAACTCACATTCGGTGAAATTAGGCTTTATGGACTTTTACTTAGATATATTTCAGCCCAATGGGCCTATCTCATTTAATACCAAGTTAGAGTCAGTCAGCCTATTTTCAAAAAAAAAAATAAAAAAATTCTTCGTCTTCTTCGATTCATCATCATCTCTCTCTTTCTTCTTCTTCTTCTTCACCTTCGTCTTCTTCGATTCATCATCTCTCTTTTTCTTCGTCTTCTTCTTCTTCACCTTCGTCTTCCACTTCCAGCACAAGTTGTCAATGGCACGAAATCGGGTAAACTTCCGTCGAAATTTTACTTCATTACAATTCAAACTTCTTGATTTTCTCTAGGTTTCATCAAAAATCAATTCATGGAAAATCTCACCTTCTTCAGCTTCTGTTTGATTTCCATCGATGTTTCTATTTTCCACTTAGTTTCGTGCATGTTATTCTCCATTACTACTGAATTAACTTGAGTTTGAATTCGTTTTATGCATATAAGCATTTAAACAATTGCTAGTGTTCTTGTTTACTGTTAATATCTCATCTTATTCATCTCGTAACTGCTCTTGGACTAATTTAGGGTTTGAATTTTTCATTTCATTGTTGAAATTATTTCTGATCGATTTGATTTCTAATTCTATGTGTGTGTGTGTTCGTCGAAGCAGGAGGGTTTGGTTTTGGTGCTCGATGTTGGTCCTGCGATGCATAGTGTTCTCCCAGATGTTGAAAAGGCATGTTCAATGCTACTGCAGAAGAAGGTAAAAGATCTTTTTCTTCTGAAATTTTTGCTCATGAATTTGGATCTTTCGTTATTGGTTTTGGTTTGTTGTTGCAGTTGATTTACAACAAGTATGATGAAGTTGGAATTGTTGTATTTGGAACTGAAGGTCTCTCTATCTCTTCTTCATACTGATCTGAATCTTTGTATCCACAAGTTTTATTGTTACTCTTTAGGAATTTATCCTCTTTAGTACTGGAATGGTTAATAAGGTTCTTTCTAGGAGTATTATCGACTATCGGCTTTTTGAAAATAATGTTTTATGTGACCTCTGCAGAAACCGGAAACGAGCTTGCTAGGGAAATAGGTGGATATGAGAATGTTACGGTTTTAAGGAATATCAGAGTTGTTGATGAAGTAGTGGCTGAGCATGTAAAACAGCTCCCTCGAGGAACCGTAGCTGGTGATTGTATCCTCATAGCTATTTTACAGCTTATTTTGCCGTTTTCTTTCGTTTATTTTCCTTGGTTCTTTGACTGCCTTCAGTTCTTGATGCTTTAATTGTTGGGATGGATATGCTTATAAAGATGTATGGTAATGCACAAAAGGGGAAAAAACGGTTGTGTCTCATCACGAATGCAGCTTGTCCTACCAAAGATCCATTTGAAGGGACGAAAGATGATCAAGTCAGCACTATCGCTATGAAAATGGCTGCGGAGGGTATTAAGATGGAAAGCATTGTTATGAGGTCCAATTTAAATGGTGATGCTCATGAGAGAGTAATAGAGGAGAATGATCATCTGTTGAATTTATTCTCCAGCAACGCGATTGCCAAAACAGTGAATGTTGAGAGTCCACTCTCACTGCTTGGTTCCTTAAAGACTCGGAGGGTTGCTCCAGTTACTTTATTCAGGGGTGACCTTGAAATTAACCCAACAATGAAGATTAAGGTAACGTTTTTTTGGTTGTGTCTTTTGCTTGTTGTGCAATGTTTATAGATATCATCAAACTTGCTGTTCGTTGGTGTTATTCAGTACTTAAATTCATTCACGTTTATATGATTGTTGATGAAATTTTCTGAGAAGAAGAATCTGAATTTGTAGGTGTGGGTTTATAAGAAAGTGGCTGAGGAGAGACTTCCCACTCTAAAAATGTATTCTGACAAAGCGCCTCCAACTGACAAGTTTGCCAAACATGAAGTGAAAATTGATTATGATTACAAAGTTACTGCAGAATCTACTGAGGTTATTGCTCCAGAAGAAAGGATCAAGGGCTTTCGCTATGGACGTCAGGTTATTCCTATATCACCAGATCAAATAGAAACACTCAAGTTTAAAACTGACAAAGGCATGAAGCTTCTGGGATTTACTGAGGCGTCAAACATACTGCGGTAAGCATAAACACATATATCTATGTGTGTCTGTAAACTCTTAGTTATTAAAGTTTGATAGAACGTTGTTTTTGCGTTTTTCTCTGCATGTCAATGAAGACATTATTACATGAAAGACGTGAATATAGTTGTTCCTGACCCGAGCAAAGAAAAATCTGTTCTTGCCGTCTCAGCCATTGCCAGAGAAATGAAGCAAATAAACATGGTAGCAATTGTACGTTGTGTCTGGAGAAATGGACAAAGCAATGCTGTTGTTGGGGTCCTGACTCCAAATGTGTCTGAAAGAGATGATACCGTAAGTTAATAGTTTTATCTGCTCAAAGGAATACTTCTATTTGAATCTGATCATTTACCTCTTTTTTTGCAGCCTGATTCATTTTACTTCAACGTGCTTCCTTTCGCCGAGGATGTCCGCGAGTTCCCATTTCCTTCTTTTAACAAACTTCCTTCATCATGGAAGCCAGATGAACAACAGCAAGCAGTAGCAGATAATTTGGTTAAGATGCTTGACCTTGCACCTTCTGCGAAAGAGGAAGTACTAAAGCCTGATCTCACTCCTAACCCAGTTTTGCAGGTAATACCAGTTTTGTTCCCTTCCCCTTTGTATAATTGTTGCAGGTAATTTGTCAACTCATATTGATGAAATATTTTATCAGCGGTTTTATGAATACCTTGAGTTGAAATCGAAATCCACGGATGCTGCTTTACCTCCTATGGATGAAACTTTCAAAAGACTTATAGAGCAAGATCCTGAACTCATTTCCAACAATAAATCCATAATGGATTCGTTTCGTGGAAGTTTTGAAGTCAAGGAGAATCCAAAGGTGTGTTCCCCTGAATCATAAGCTTTCAGAAAGGAACCTGAATAATCTCATTCTTAATTATTTGACATGACTTTAATTGCAGTTGAAGAAGGCTTCTAAGAGATTGTTACGAGATAAACCATCGGGTTCAGATGATGAAGACAATCGCATGATTACTTATGAACCTAATGAGAAAAAAATTGATGTAGTCGGAGATGCAAACCCAATTCAAGATTTTGAAGCCATGATATCCCGCAGAGATAAAACTGATTGGTCCGAGAAAGCAATCACACAAATGAAAAACCTAATAATGAAGCTCGTAGAAAATTGTACCGATGAGGGTGACAAAGCATTGGAATGTGTACTCGCTCTTCGTAAAGGCTGCGTCTTGGAACAGGTCTCATCTCTTTTCTCTATCTCTGCATTTGCTCTCAAAACTTTTTCCAAGTTCTTTTTTCATGGAGTCTTCTTACATATGTGAGCAGGAACCAAAGCAATTCAATGAGTTCTTGAATCATCTATTCAAGTTATGCCAAGAAAGAAAATTATGTCATCTTCTCGAACATTTCACGTCAAAGAAGATCACGTTGATTCCCAAATCCGAAGCAGCGGACAGGTTTGTAATAGACACATCTTCAGTTTTATTAAATGTGTTTAAATAACTAAATTGGTCTGATGAATGTTTTTGTTGGTCGTTGCTTTTAAACAGTGATGTGGTAGACGAGAACGCTGGAGATTTCACTGTTAAACAAGAGCCAATGCTCGAGAGCTAACAAAATCTTCGTTACCACTAACTGATCTTGTGACTGTTTTGTCCAAAACGTCACCGTTTTCTTTATGACTTTTGCCTGTTTGAAGAGCTCTGCAGTTTTTTTTGTTTGATATCAAGAACTCAGGCAAATTTGTTATTAGTTATTACCTTCCATAGTTAAGACCCTTTTTTGTTCGATAACCATTTCACAAATTTATCCCCTTATTATTAAAAGAGAAGTACAAATTGAAAATGGTCTAATTTGGCCTCAATTTCAATTTTGGATTTTGTATATTGTTAATCAAAATTGTCAAGGGTAATTTGGTCATCAAATTTCATTAAAAGAGTTAAGATCCGCGTGTTTTTTATATGGGTGGATAGTGAATCAAATATTTCCAAATCCGAAAATGAATATCTAATCGAAATTTTACCAAAATCGAATTTAAAAAAAAAACTTTAAAAAAACACGACATTTGTTTTGTGTGTGGCTCAAATATTTTTTTGAAAAATTCAGTTGAATCGGAGGAGATAATCGGTGAAAACAAGTTAAAACGGCCATAGATTAGGGTTTCAGATGGGCTGCAGTCGAGTGGAGAAGATGAACATGAAATTACCATTTTGTCATTCATAATAAAATTGAGAAAAAAAGACACAAAAACGTATTTCGGCGACTCAAACTTGGGTGCTGCCCCCAAACACGTAGAAGAGTAACCAACTGAGCTTCTCGAAACTCTTGGAATGTTTATGCAAACAAAATATATAACCGCATTTTATAGGATAGTTAAAGAGACAAAACAAAACAAACGTGTGCTGTCTAAGACGAAAGGTTCATCGTGTGCTGTCTTTGAGCCGCGAGAGGTGAGCAAATGACGGAGGTGGCTAGCCGGAGACCACCTTCTATCTAGGTCGCAACTCGCCATATCAAAGAGGGGAGTCAACAGTCGATGGAGATTCGAGAATTCTGGTTTGAAAAGAAAAAAAACTAAGAAGAAAAAGAAAACAGAAACGAAAGAAAGATTGTGGAAAAAGCAAGGAGAGTAGGAGAAATCCCGACGCCGGTGAGCCAAAGCTCCACCGGCGTCGTAGAAGGTGTCTAAAATTGTTTTCTCGATGTTAGTGCTTGGGAGCTTTTCTACTCTTCTCTTTATTTTAATAATTTATATATGCTAAATTAAAAAAAAAATAATAATAATAATAATAAAAATATATATATATATATATATATATATATATATATATGCTGCTTTTTTCTACATGGTATCACATATTCGATATATCAAAATCTGGTAAAATCACACATTTTACGGATAATATTTAAACTAACAATCTTAACTGTCTATTAAGACTTTCCAAATCAAAAAGCAATAATAACGTAATGATTATAAACTCTGATTTAATTAAAAATTTCACGAATAATATTCCTAAACTAATGTTTCCTGCAAACTGAATTCTATAAGTTTCCATATCATATAATTCTAAAAATTCCTCTACAAGCCAAAGAATATAATTTTTTTTCAAACAGAATATTCCTTTCTAAAATCCCTAAATCGTCACTTCATCTTCACTATATAAGAGCATGTCATTCTACTGAAACGAAATATCATTATACTAATCCCGATTTCGTTTCATTTGTTTAATTCATTTTTTTTAAATAACATTTTCGTTTATAATTTATAAAACTTTATTTCATATTGTTTCTCACATTTTTTTTTATATATTTATGCATGTAGTGTGATGTGCGAAAGATGATAATGTAGACGCACACATGATTTCGTTGAGGTATTTATTCATATTTTTTCTATCAAGCTTTAATTGAAATGTTATTTTTTATAACTAATCTTTAATTTTTTCTTATAGATGATTTTCATAATAAAAACATATTTGGAGAAGAATACTTCCTTTCAGACTACAACGCATGATGATACTATGATTCTATTCTTTGTAAGACAATTTCAAATGATCACAAATCTAATCAATTCTTTGTTGAAAACAGTTTACACATTCCATCATTATTTTATTGGATCATACATATTCTAACATTTGATTTTTTTAATCCATCAATTTTTCATGTGTTTTTTTGAATTTTTTTTTGTTGATATATATACTCGAAATATATATGCAACACAAATATAGTTGACAATTTTTTTTAAAATAAGAAATAATATATTTGGAAATAAAATCTTCAAAAAATATCTAAAAAAAATTATTAGAAAATTTGGTCAATATCTAAAAACGTATTGAGAGAAGATATATTTTTAGATTTTATGAATAATTTCGTTTGGGGTTTTGCCAAAATTTAAGGAATGATACGATTGAAGATTTTCGGGTCAAAAATAAAAAAAAAAACCGACCCGCAAAAGCGGGTTAGAATTAGTATTTATTCGATATAGAATGAGCTAAATGGAATTGTTAATGACCTTTGATACATCTAAATTTATAATTACAATACTAAATTGCACGTAACACGAGTTAAATAAAATTATATAATTCTAATACTAATTTGAAAACTGTAAAAATAAAAAATTTCCCGCGGTGAACCGCGGGTTAAATCCTAGTTATATTCATAAAATGGTAATCCGATTGTGTATAAATAATGGAATCGCAAGTCAATCTTGTATTAATCTAATTCTACTGAAAAGGGAATTTATTTAAATCTAATTTATATCCATTCCCTAACAAAATAGGAATTCTAATTTAAAAATAAAAATAAAGAATTTGACATGAGATTATCATGAGAGATTTCCTTTAGATAATCTTATTAAACAGTTGTATTTTAAAATTAGTAACTAATTATATAGTATCTTTTAGTATTTAAAAGATAATAATTCTTTTCCTATCATAAGGAATAGACCGTTCAATTCATAACAATGGTAATCCTTTTTTACATAGGAAACAGAGAAGATACATCTCCATATATATTGAAGCAAAATAAGTCAGAGAGAGACCAGAGACATTATACAGAGAGAAACGAAATCGTGGAGAGGAAGTAACGAATTAGGGTTTCGACCAAAAAAGATGGAGCCACAAGAGGAAGAGAAGAACGAAACTATGCAGAGAAAAAGAAGTAAATCTTCATCGTCGTTGTCCATACCTCTCGATATAACCACAGAGATATTCTTAAAGCTACCTGCGAAATCTGTCTCAAGGTTTCGTTGTGTTTCGAAGCTTTGGTCATCAATCCCCACCTCTCCATATTTCACCAACTCGTTCGAAACTCGACCTAATCTTTTGTTCTTCTTCAAAGAAGGTAATAGGTTCTTTGTTGTCACGATTCCTAACCCTAATCGGAGACCGAGCGAATCCCTTTCTTATACTTCTTCTGAGATTCTTGATAGTTACCAAATACCCTATCCAAAACATAGCTGCCTCACCATTAAAACCGAGTCGGTCCACGGTTTGATCTGCTTTCAGAGAGGAACAAAACCTACAGTTTGGAACCCTACTATGAGAAAGTTCAAACCTTTATGCAAACCGGACAAGAGCTGGGAGAGTTTAATTGTCTTTTTAGGGTATGATCCAGTCGAACGTAAGCACAAAGTAGTGTCCATGACTTGTGATCAAGCTTCTGATGAGTGTCGTGTTTTAACGTTGGGATCAGATCAAGAATCATGGAGAACGGTCAAAACCAACTATAAGCATCTCCCTTTCCGTGGCAAGCGCAAAGACAATTATGGACCATGCAGATGCATCAACGGTGTTCTATATTATCAAGCAGAGATTGGTCCTCATCTGGTTATAATGAGTTTTGACGTAAAATCTGAAAAGTTCCATGCGATAAGATTACCATGGGATGATGAGTTTTCGCCAAAGATGATGATATCTTATAAAGGGAAGTTAGCTTATCTCGGTCATTCCGATGGGAAGAATAGTCTTCTCATGTGGGTTTTAGAGGATGCAAAGAAGGGTGAATGGTCGACTTACAACTTTTTACCTCTTTCTCACTATGATCGGAGTTCAGAGACCCATTTCAAGCTAATAGGTATCACCAATGATGGTGAATTGATTTATGTACCATACATGGTATTCGAATCTTTTGATGTCATATATATTGATCCAGTGAGAAAGACGTTTAGAAGAGTCAAATACAAAGGAGTTGCAGATAAAGGTTTTAGACAACGCAATGGACTTGAAGAACATAAACCTTTACGTGGGATACAATATTCACCCAATCACGTTGACACTCTCATGTCTTTGTGATTCTTTTTTTTTATCTTTTAATGTCATTATATTTTAGTTATAGTCTTCGAGATTTTATTCAAAATTCTATGATTACATCCTTTTTTTTCCAATTACCAAGGTTCTTTTGTGATCTATAATTACAAAACATGAATTAATACACATGGGAACATTAAGCATATATATACCTTCTTTAGGTTTTAGGAGAACAATGCAATGTTTGTCTAAAATCTTTATCTGCAATTCCTCTGTATTTGACTCTTTTAAACGTCTTTCTCATTGGATCAATATATATAACAACAAAAGATTCGAACATCGTGTTTGGTACGTAAATCAATTCACCATCATTAGTCATACCTATTAGCTTGAATTGGTTCTCTGAACCACGATCTTAGTGAGAAAGAGGTAAGAAGTTATGACTCGGCCATTCGCGCTTCTCTGCATCCTCTAAAACCCACATAGGAAGACTGTTCTTCCCATTGGAATGAACGACATAAGCTAACTTCCCTTTATAAGATATCATCATCTTTGGCGAAAACTCACCATCCCATGGTATAATCTTATCGCATGGAACTTTTCAGATTTTACATCAAAACTCATTATAACACGGTTGGGACCAATCTCGGCTTGATAATATAGAACACCGTTGATGCATCTGCATGGTCCATAATTGTATATAAATCCCCAATTGTATTATTTTACTAATTAATGAGAAAGAGTTTTACCCCCAATTGGTTGCTTGTAATTCAAGAAATGTAATTTGAGTTAGTTTTATCTTTGTGGTTAATTTTTCTTTGTTTCACTGCATTCGAAGTTGAAGACATGGGAAAGATAATGGTACCTCTTCAGTGCCTTGTATAAGAAGTATCCACAGAGGAGACAGTAATATATATATCCTCTGTAAGATTCTTTTGAGTAGATTATGTTTCTAAAGGATTGTTATGTTTGCTTAGAAGATACAGCCAAATAGTCTATTTGGTTTTCTTAACTCATAATCTATGTGTTTTTCAATAATCAGAACTGGTTTCTTATGCTTCATGAATTGCTTTAGACTTAAGATGGCGGCGCTGCTAATAATCTCTCTCTGGTTTTATTGGTGTTGAATGTCACTAGAACTGGATTTGATAATCTCTTTTGATTCTGGATTCAACTCTTATTATCCGTGAGTTTTGTTGGGATGCAGCTAGATGAGTATGTGTCGTGTAGAGTGTTCCTCAAGAAAAACATTGGGAAACCTAGTGGAAGCAGATAGATATGCACCATTCTTGCAAACGTGAACTTTTGTGCTGCTGCTCCTGTTTACTTAAATACTCATGTAACTGTTTTTTTCTTTTTTTGGTGTTTGTAGGAAAACTAGTAACAAAGCAAGAACCTCTGTAACCAAACGAGCTCCCGCAAGACTGTGAAACCGATGATCAATATCCACACCAAAAGCATCATGACACCAATAAAAAACAAAGAAGCTATATTGCCTCTCGTCCAATACAAACGCAAGCGCCAAATCCACTCTAATGGAAAATCCAACAGCACAAGTCAAACCAATCAGGACCATTGTTCCTCCACAGAAACAATCATTGACATAAGAATATGCTAGTGAAAGAGACCGTGGTGCCTGCAAGCTCTCCCACCAAGCGGATCAACGATCTGCTGAAGGAGAAGCAAGAGATGGTATATCCATCATTATATCAATACACCATCAAACAAGAAACCATTTCTAACACACCCGTCCCGTAGGTTATCGCTGATCAACAATCTCTAATCTCAAACAAATCCATCATTATAATACCTCTTATCACTTTGTTATTAAAAAAATATTCTAGAAACACCAAAATTTTGTGTATTTTAGAGAGAATAAAACAATCTTTGGTGTAAAGTTATGGAATTTTTCCTAATAACAAAAGAGAGAGAGAGGAAATTATTTTTATTGGAAAATATAGAATAGATACAAATATTAAGCGTATCTCTTATTATATAAAGGGTGAATATCACTTTGGCATACTTTTGCTGAGTTTCGTTTCAAAACAGACACTTTACGAGATTTTCATCTTTTTTCCACTGTTCAACATTATTTAATACCAAAATACCCCTAAAGTTTCTCCTCTGGTTTCACACACCTCTTTATATACACAAACTAAAAGAACCAAACAAAATATTTCTCGTCTCTTTCTTCTTCTTATATTCTCTCTCCTTTCTTCTTCGTATGGCTGATGCATACGAGCCTTATCATGTTCTTCAACAAAGCCGTCGAGACAAACTTCAGATTCCGTCTCTTGATTCCCACTTCCACTTTCACCCTCCTCCTCCTTCTTCCTCCGACGGCGGCGGTGGCGTCTTTCCTCTCGCCGATTCCAATTTCCTTGCAGCCGGTGGCTTTCACTAGATTCTCCAGGTGATTTCGATTCAAAAATAATTCCCTTATTGTTGTATAATTGCTCAATTCCACTCTTGGAATCTCGAAGGCAAAGACTCATAATTTCTTGGTGCGTTTTGTAGAGGATTAGAAGGAGCAATCTTCAGATCTGGACTACCAGACCACCGGCCGGAGAAAGAAGAGAGGTATTATACGACGAGAGGTGTAGTTGATAGCATTGGGAAAGTTTGTTTAGATGAAAACAACAATGGAGAAGATGGCAACAACAAGGAAGAGAGTATGTGGCCTAAGTTGTTTACAACATTATCAAACAAAGAGAAAGAAGAAGATTTTATGGCTATGAAAGGTTGCAAACCTTCACATAGGCCTAAGAAGAGTGCCAAACTCATCCAAAGAAGCTTACTTGTGAGTTTTCAATACTCTTTTTTTTTGTCGTTTCAAAAGTGTTTTGAAGATTCTTCAGTTGTCTGTTTCCAGTTTTGAGAATAATGTTTTGGTTGGACATATTTACAGTTGGTGAGTCCTGGAACATGGTTGGCTGATTTGTGCCTAGATAGATATGATGTTAGGGTGAAGAAGAGCTCTAAGAAGGTATGAACTTGTATCATTTTTATTCCTGTGATTCTACATATAGTGATTGAGATAAACCTTTGTATAATTTTGCTGAAGATATGATGATGTGTTTGTGTTGCAGAGGCGAGCCAGAGGGCTAAAAGCTATGGGAAATATGGAGACTGATTCAGATTGAGATGTTACATAGATACGGAAGATTTTGTTTGTTCGTCACGGTTTGGATTGTTGTGTGGAGGGAAGATTAGTTTTGAGAGGATGAAGAAGTAGATGAGTGTGAGGATCGTGAATATGAAATCTTGGATTGTTACGAGACCACTTGCGGAGAGGAGTAGAGGACGATGATTATTGCGAAGATATGATGATGTGTTTGTTTTAAGATTAGTTTATTAGAAATGTTTGCGTATTGAAGTCTTTTGTGACAATGGATGTTCTTGTTGTATTATTAGCATGACGACATCTGCAGCCACATGATCAATTTCTCATTAGTATTAAGACTTGGACAATACAAACAACAAAAAATTGACCACAATCATGTATACACAGTTTGGCCAAAATCATGTGTACATGTGGATGTGGTGCTATGACCACAAAAGAGTTTCTCGAAAACAACAAAGACAACTTAGGTGAGTATATCTAAAGACAGTTTGAAGAAATCCATATGAGCAAAGCAACCAGAAGCTTCAAGAGAATGAAGAATTATGAAAATCAAACCAAACTCACATAGCCCAACAGAGCAGATGTGAGAAGAAACATGAACCCCATAAGTGTTATCTACAAAACAAAACACACACAACCCGTAAGAGTCTATCGCCTTTGTTATACTACATTCGAGTTTAAATGCGAAACATAATGGTAACAAGATTTCCAAGGTTCTTGGTCATGTCCCAGTGGACGCCGAAAAATTAACATATTTTATATATATGGTCACGTTCACATGGATACTGGAAATTCAAAATTGATTCAAGATTAAAAACTAATTAATAAAAGACATTAACTTTCTCATATAAAAGAGATGGATTAGACATAAGAAAAAACCTTACAAAATCAGACAAAAAGGAGTCTTACTATTACTACGTTTTGTAGTTCTTCCAAGCCCAAAACCAATGTTGGATGAGATGAGAACATTGGATTAAGAAAAATTTAGGATAAGCCTTTACGAACGAACACAAACAAAAATTGTGTGCTTATTGTTCCGACGCAGACACAATTCCTCAAAGATTTACTGTTTTGATAACTAAAGATTCGTGCATTTCATCGATTCCACCATCCCTTATCCATGCAATTTATCATCCCTTCATAGTGAACAAATGTTCAATCACATGTAAATAATGTGTAATGTGGAGGAATATGGATTTTGATTAATTTGAATCAAGTAGTACCCGATAGCCTCTGCTTCCCAGGGACTTCACGTAGCAACTCGGAACCACCAAATGACAAGTTTCGTTATAATTTTGATTAAGCTCGGAAGCTTAACTTCAAACTTATCATTTTTGTCCATAAAACCATGTCCAAACGATGTATTCCATATGATCGGACGAGTTGTTTCACCATAATTGCTTCCGTCTCTTGGTTCTCAACTCAAGAAAAAAGGATAATCACCAATTTCACGAGTAGTGTTCATTTCTAGTTGACCATTCGTTCACTTGTATATAGACACTCCAATCATTATATAACATCTAGTTGATCATTCGTTCACTTGTAATTTTACACAGTGTCTAGACCAAATCAAATTCATTTTTCAAAAAAAAAGACTTTGAGCTCATATCCAAAAATATTGGCAAATCCTACAATAAAAACATGAAGATAGATCATCAAAGCCATATATACAAGTCCATGCATCAAATATAGTTAGTAGAAACCAAAAATCAAGTGTTACCTCCATAGCCATAGAGTTTCCTATCAAAAGTGTACATAGCAATAGATGATGATTCTTCACCACTGGAAATATCTTACCTAAGAACCAAAACTGAGCAACAGATGCTAATTTTTCCAGATACGATCTCTTGTTTACACTTATATCGATGGACACAACGAGATTAAACCAACGAATCTTCAAATTCACCAGAATCGTCGTCAATTTCAAACTAAACAAAGGGAAAAGCTCTAACCAGCGTTGATTCGATCTGGAGAACTTCGAGGTCGACTAATCCAAGGACCAAGAGACATGAGACCGAGAGTTAAACCAGCCATTAAACCAGCGAACTCTACAAGAGCTATGATTATGACGACGTAAAGCGAGAACGTGGTTCCACAGCACGAAATATCCGACAACATAGTTTAGAACAGGTCCTTCGTGCTCATCGAATCTATCGATCAAAGTAGCCATACGATAATACCAAAGCTGGATCATGCCACTGTGCAAACTCGCGAGAATCCATGGTCGTTTAGGGTGAAAGCTCAGACCTTTAACTCTGTTACTCTTGGTTTCGAACTTTGTCAACATACTCTCTTTCTCTCCGATAATGGCACTCTACAATGTCAAAAACCAGATCACAGAAAAACAAATCACGAACAATTAGAAATAGATCTAAATTGCAACAATGGAGAGTGAGATCAAAACAGAATTTTGAAATCAGAAGGAGAGAAACAATGGTGATTACCACATATCAGATGAGTTCACGAACGAAGCGAAGAAGAAGAAGTAGAGCCAGCTCTAGCCATCGTGACATTGATCGCTGACCCATTAAACTCAATCCACGCCTGATAATTCTCGCCACTGTTAAGCCTCAGCTCCGTGAATCTCTCGCCGTCTCTGCCTCCATAGAAACCTGCAGTTTTAGATGCAACGAAAGTGAGGGAATTGACGTCGATGCCAACGTGGTTGCCGTTGATATTGGTGAACTCTTGGTTAGGGAAAACATCAAATTCTACGGCAAAGATTCGGCTGTCGGGGTAGCCGTTATTGGTGAAGTTGAAGAGGCCGAGATGCTGAGATGAGCTTGCAGGGGAGGTTTGGGAGAAAGGGAGGAAGACGAAGGCGAAGAAACGGGGATCGATTAGGGTTGGGAATTAAGGGAGTAACTTTAGTTAGAGATGGGTAACTGTAGGGTGAAAGGGGAAGCGATTAGTTGAGGGTGTTTAGGTAATAACACTCAAACTTAAATAGTTGAAAGATGAAAGTGTGTTAGAATGATAGAGAACTTGAGAAAGTATGCCAAAGTGATATTATTCCTTATATAAAGTATGGTTTTCAAAGTTAATAACTCATAAGATCGTGACATGTGGCAAATCTATCGATTTAGATTTTGACATGTGTAAAACAAAACTCTCCTTTTTAAAATATAAAAAGACAATTGTAAGTAATAATAAATTTTAAAAATGTAAGCGATAATTATAAGAATAAGTAATTAATATTTTTATAAAAAATTAAAAAATGTCAAAAGATAAATATAAGGAAATACACGTTTTTATAACTAAATATATTTTAAAACAAATAAAACTCTATTTGTAGTTATGTTATACTAATTATTAAATCATCTAATATAAATATTGGCCTATTTATAAAATTATATATTTTTTTGCTTATTATAAGTTATGAAGTCATAACTGTTCATAGGTTGTATTATTGAATTTTAATAAGTTATATATATCCATCGGAAGAGTGTATTACAGTTTATAATTTCAATGTGGGCAAGATGGAAATAAACTGTGACAATAAGAAAAGATAAAATTATATAGTTACGTGGCATTGTCAATTTTTGGCTTATATTACTCATTTTTTCGTTTTCTCTTTATTCCTTCCGCTCGTCGGCGAGAAATTCTCAAATCTCTCTATTTATCTCATTAGATTTCTCTTATTTTTGCTTGAAATCCTCTTTCTTTCTCCTTCTCTCCCTCTTTTTTCCCCTATCTCCATTTCTTCCCTTCGTCGGACATCACCACCGAGTCTCACTACTATGACCACCACCACAAATGAATCTCATTACTATCACAATCACCACCACCATCAATACCGAATCTCGCTAATTTTGATCCACCACCTTCATCAACATTTGTCGCCGCCACCACCACCAAGCTTGAACCACCGTCATCAATACCAACACCATTTTTTATCGCTTCTTCTCTCTTTCCCCAACTTCTCTTATCACTCCACTTTCTTTATTTTCTCCGACATCAGGCCAAGCCTCTCCGACAACAACTCTAGTCTATGTCCATCGCCGTTCATAATTCTTAATTTGCCTCCATTGCCATATATTCTTTGGGTATGAATATCACATGCTATTTTTAAAAAACCATCGTGATTCACAGTGTTTGTTTTTATAATTGACATGATATATTTACATCAAATGATTTTTTTTTGGTCGGATACAACAAATGATAAATGCATGTAATTTTGACATGATCATGTTATTATTTAAAATCACCCAATCACCACCTCCGTAACCATTAACCACCACCTTCATCACCTCCACAACAATCACATGCTACTCCTATTTCTTTCAGTATGATACGTTATTTTATTAAATGAAATTGTTGGATGTCTCTATTTTGTCGTTAGAATTCTATTATTGATTGTTTTTTCCAGATTTTTCGTGTTATTAGTATTTATTTCATGTTTTTTCTCTAAATTAGAATATGAGTTGTATGTTTGTCTTTTGTTTGAGAGCTATTTTGACTTTTCACATATCTGAAAAACATTAGTTTCCAAAACTTTTTTAACTCATGGCTATTTCCTTAATTTTTTTTGAGTCAAATGTTATTTACTTATATTATCCTAAAAAAACTTTATAACCAAAAAAAATGTTTTACCTATAGAATGAAGTTAAAACAAAGGTGGTGTGTGAAGAAATTAGTTTGCTTGGTGAAAAAATATGAGACAACTTATTGTTTATATAAAGGTGATTATTTACAATCATTTTTCTTATAGGAATAATAACTGATTGTATTATTTCATTAATCATTTTTCTATTTTAAATTTTTTTTCTTGTACAATTAGTAACTTATAAATAAAATGTTTAGCACAATTTTATAATTTTGATTTATATAGAAAATATACATATAATTTTTTATATATACGTATAGTTTTCTTATTATGATCTAACTGTTTAAATTTATAATTTTGTTATAATGATCTCTTAACTATTTTTAAGTTGTTAAAAACAAATATTTAGGTTGCTAGATGGCAAAATCTCTTATGGAAATATAGGTACAATTTCTTTATAATTAGCTTTTTACATTTTTAAATTGTTTACCTTTATAATTTTCTTATAATTATTTTTTTACCTTTTTTATTAAAATGGAAAATTTATTTACGCATGGCAAAATCAGAGATCGAAATATTTGACACGTGTCACGATCTCGTGAGTTATTAACTTTGAAAACCATACTTTATATAATAAGATATGATATATTTCGTTTCTCAAAGTTAGTAATTAATATTATCATAAACCGTTATCAGTCAAAGATTTTATCATGTGTCATGATTTAATTTAAAATTTGATATTATTTATCTTAATTTCTTTTTCAATTAGAAATATGTGATGACTTTATTAAATTAATCCTCATATTATTTATTTGAGCTTATTTTTCAATTCGAAATATGAGAGATCAATTTTTTTATTTTTTTTTAATATTTTTTACTTAACTGTGTTCTTTTGTTTGTCCTCAATTATGATTGTAGTATTGTTAGATGGTTTATTTCAATTTCTCTTTTCATATTTAAATTATCGAAAATTCATATATCATCGTATTTCTATTTTTTTTCAGTTTAATTATTGTTTTTTTAAATTATTTATTTTGGTTTCTACCTTCAGTTTGAATTATATAAGTTTTATCATATATCATAGTTCTAATGATTTTAGATAGCAACATGTGTCATGATTTAAATTTAAAATTTACATTATTTATGTCAATTTTATTTTCTAACTAGAAATATATGATAATTTTAAGTAAAGTTTTATATTGTTTATTTGAAAATCTTGAATACGTAAGAACCATATATGCTTCTTCTTTGTTTTTGATATTTGAAATTTAATTATACTATTTTAAATTATTTATTTAAATTTAGATGTTCATATTTGAATTAATAAGATTCATATATCATTGTGCTTATAATTTTTTGACCTTATCAATTTTTACTGATTGATCATAAAGTCATTACAATCGAGTATGTAGGAATCGGACCCGCAACGTTAGCTTGGAAGGCTAAGGGGCATCTTTATATTTTTAAAGTGTCTAATTAAAAATCACTTTGGTTTCATTCGCCAACTTTATGATGACTATTTTTAATTTTAGTTTTTCATATAAGTATACCATGACTTATTGCTATGTGATATATTTTTCATTCCAAATAATTTTTGAATCAATAATTTTAGTGGCTAAAGAAACAATGCAACAATGAAAGTAAATATTTTTTTTTTACTTTTGAAAGATAATTCCTACTTAAAATGTTGTTAATTAATTTTTTTGAGAAATTTGATTTTAATATTAAAAAAATTAAATCCGTACTTATCTAGTGTATATATAAAGTTAGGGGAAAGGGAAGAAGTTGAGAGACATATAAACAGAGGAACGAAATCGTGGAGAGGAAGTAACGACTTAGGGTTTCGACCAAAGATGGAGCAACGAGAAGAGAAGACCGAAAATATCAAGAGAAAAAGAAGAAGAAGAAGAATAAAATCTTCATCGTCGTCAGAATCAGCATTGTCCTCGTCCTTACCTCTCGATCTAACCTCGGAGATATTCTCAAGACTGCCTGCGAAGTCTGTCGTGAGGTTTCGTTGTGTTTCGAAGCTTTGGTCATCAATCACCACCGATCCATATTTCACCAACTCGTTCCAAACTCGGCCTAATCTCATGTTCTTTTTCAAAGAAGGTGACAAGTTCTTTGTTTTCACGATTCCTCAACACAATCGGAATCCGAACGAGTCTTATTCTTATTCTTCTTCTGAGATTATTGATAGTTACCATACAACCTATCCAAAAGGTTGTTGCGTCACCACTATAACCGAGTCTGTCCACGGCTTGATCTGCTTTCGAAAAGCAGCAAACCCTATAGTTTGGAACCCTTCTATGAGAAAGTTCTTACCTTTACCCTTACGCAAACCGGATGACAGGTGGAAGAATATAACAGTCTCTTTAGGGTACGATCCAGTCGATGGTAAACACAAAGTAGTGTGCATACCGTATGGTACAGCTTCTTATGAGTGTCCGGTTTTAACATTGGGATCAGATAAAGAATGGAGAACGGTCAAAACCAACCACAAGAATAGCCCTTTTACTTTCTATGGCGGAGTTAGTTATGGCGCAGTTAGTTATGGACAAGGCAGATGCATTAACGGTGTTCTATATTATCGAGCCGAAACTAATTCTGGTCGGGTTATATTGAGTTTTGATGTAAGATCTGAAAAGTTCGATGTGATAGAATTTCCATGGGATAAGGACTTTTGGCCTGTGATGATGATGTCTTATAAAGGAAGGTTAGCTTGTCTTGGTTCCAATGGAAAGCGTAGTCGTTCAATGTGGGTTTTGGAGGATGTAGAGAAGCGCGAATGGTCGTGTCATAACTATTTACCTCTTTCTCATTATGATCGAGGTTTGGAAAACTATTTCAAGCTAAGAGGTATCACTAATGATGGTGAACTGATTTACGTACCAAACACTTTGCTCGAATATTTTCATGTTATATATATAGATCCATTGAGAAATAGGTTAGAAGAGTCGGATATAGAGGAATTGGAGATAAAGATTTTAGACTACGCAATGGACTTGGAGACAAACCTATACGTGGACTTCACTTTTTCCCCAATCACATTGAAACTCTCATGTCTTTGTAATGGACTATGAAATTCTTTTTCTTGGCTTTCTTCTTATTTTTATAGTGACAGTTTTATTTATACGACTTTATGATTTTATCTTTAATGTCCTTATTACATATTTAGTTGTAATCTTGGGGATTCTTTTATAATTTTATGATTCTATCATATGTTTGTTTTCATTATCAAAGTTCTTTTGTGATCTATAACTACAAGTAAAACAATTACAAAACATGAATGCACAAGCGAAGATTAAGCATATATATACCTTCTTTGAATTTTAGGAGAACAATATGTATATAGTACATATTGAATCAAAAGAATATAATCATAAAATCTAATACAAACTCATATAATTATAATTTTATACCAAAACAATCTTATTATAAGTAAATCTTATAAAAAATATATTTTACGGTTTCAAATGATCAAAACATATAATTATAAGATTTCTAGTTTAAAATAATATCTATACTACTAGTGACTGAAATCAATTTTCTATATACGATTCTACAAGAGGTGTGTTTCAATACTTATAAACTAGATCATCACCCGTACTAAAGTACGGGTTAAATTTTATTTATTACAAAATTTATATAATATATATATTAGAACTAAGTTTTAAATATTAATTTATATATATATATAATACAAAGTAAAAAATATTAATTTTTTTGTCAGTCCCTATATACAATATTAGAATAAATATAGATATTTTTCTATAATACTCAATTATGGATAATTTTTTTTTTAACATATGAAAATGGAAAATAATTTTATTTTTAAAAAAGTAATATTTTTTGAACAATGAATTAATTTATGTTAACAACCACAAAATAGGATTGCATATATTTTAATTAGAATTAAAATATCATAATGAATCGCATATAAAACATAGATTATTTTGAATTAATTAAGAAATTAGCTATTATTTTGAACTAATTTAGAAAATTATTTTTCAATTTATAATTCTTTGGTTGTTGAAATAGAGATTTGTTTGAGCTAATCTAATTACAGAATTTGTTTGAGATTTATAATTACGAAATTTACCAATTATTTGCATAATCGAATATGTTATAAACATATATTTAGTATATAATAATACCAAAATCAACTTGTGCGTGAAGTCTATATTTTTGTTTTAGAATCTTAATATTTCATTTTAAAATATTGCGTGCACAATCTATTATCCGTTGATTCTAAAATTGCTTGCGGAATCAAATTTTCAAATATTTAGAGGTGTCAAACCATATTTAAATGTTTTACACTATTTTTAAATATTCCTAATTAAAATCTTTAAATTTTTTTGTAGTTTATAAATTTTGAATTTCAAAAAACAAATTATGTGAAATTAAATATAACTATTCAAATAGTTATAAGGATCAAAACTCATTTTATCATATAATATATTATATTTAACCCGCTACCTATTATAAATATTTTTAAAAATAATCAAATTAGAGTATTTATAATTTTTACCTTTTTGAACTATTAAGTATTGATGATATTCTCTAAAAATATCAAGTAAAAATTATTTTAAATGTTGCAAATTAAAATATTTAATTTTTTTTTGAAGTATATAAAATTATACATTTCAAAAAATAAATGTATGAAATCGAATATAAATATTCAAATTTTGACCCGTTGCTCAGTCGAAATTTTTGTTGAATTTATTTTTGTGTAAAAGAAATATATTACTCAAGTCTGAATTTTTGACCCGTTTAATCTTGGGTTGGCTGATTTTATAGCCATAAACTAGTTGCATTCTCAGCTTTTCCCCCCAACCTTTTCGCTCCAGCTAATTCCACCATTAACTTAGACAATTCTCGCAATTTCAACATGTACTTTCGGATTCATCCTTAAAACTACGCCTCCAATTGAACCGGTCATTAAACCGGTACCACATAACCCGGTTTGATTTAATTCAAATTTAACCAAATTTAAACCCGATTTTGACCAAAATTTTATAAAATCAGCCAACCCAACCGAATCTTATTCTTCTTCGGCGGCGATTGGTGGTCACGCGCTTGACGGTTGCGGAGAATTCATGCCGTCTCCTTCTTCAACACCTTCCGATCCAACTTCTCTCAAGTGTGCAGCTTGTAGTTGTCACCGTAACTTCCACCGCCGTGAACCTGACGATTCCTCCTCGGTTCCACCACCGTCTCTTCTTCCATCTTCATCCACAACTGCCGCAATTGAGTATCAACCTCATCACCGTCACCACCCTCCTCCTCCGCTAGCTCCTCCGCTTCCTCGTAGTCCTAGTTCATCTTCTCCGACAGTAGCTGAGGGAGACAGGAAGAGGACCTGTGAGTTTGTTGTTGGCCAAGGAGACGGACCTCAAGGACCCGCATTGCTCGAAGAACCCGTCTGGGATCCGACCCGAGAGACTATTGCCGCTGAAATCGACGACTTGGAGGCTGCCGAGGTGAGGGAACTCGGGGTTTAGGGTTCCGGTGAGGTTGTTGTTGGAGAGGACCAAGGTGTGGAGGAACTGGAGACGGAGAAGGCCACGCCCGATGTGACCGGAGAGAGAGAAGGCGTCAAGTCGGAGCTCCGATACCCGGTTGGAGGCAGGGTCGCATGTGCAACCGACCCAGTTGCAGGGATCGTAGTCTTCGGATTTGCCGTCGATGAGACCCAAAACGTCGTCGTTGAAAGTCGGGTCTGCCGTCGTTAAAGAAAAAAAATTCTGGTCAAAATCGGATGATGAAGAAGAAGATTGGGTCAAAATCGGGTTTAAATTTGGTTAAATTTGAATTAAATCAAACCGAGTTATGTGGTACCGGTTTATTGGCCGGTTCAATTGGAGGCGTAGTTTTAAGGATGAATCCGAAAGTACATGTTGAAATTGCGAGAATTATCTAAGTTAATGGTGGAATTAACTGGAGCGAAAAGGTTGGGGGGAAAAGCTGAGAATGCAACTAGTTTATGGCTATAAAATCAGCCAACCCTTTAATCTTTATAGATTGAACAATTTATATGCGTTTTTAAAAATTCAAATCTTGGCATATGCAGAAAAAAAATTACTTTTTTTTTATTATATAGATGATATGATGATTTATTTGTTTCATATAAATATAATCATAAAAAGATGAGAGGTGAAGTTTAATGATTAATAACAAATTAATATGGTAAGTTAGATATCAAATCTTATATATTCATTTTGATTGGTCATTTAAAAAAAATTAATAACAGATTTTCGTTTTATAATTAATTAAATTAATTAAATAATATAAATTAGTATTTTACTTGTTTATCCTTAAGAAATTGAATAAATTTGTTCTAAAAGAAGAAATTTGTAATGGCATTCTCATGTAATTTTTTACAAAAGAGAAGGTTAGTTAAGGGTTTCTTATAAAATGTACTCCCCAAATAATAGTATAGGATTACGTTCCAAAATTGACAAACCAAAGTTACGTTTTTATCATCCGGAAACTAATTTATATCTCCATTTACATAATAAACAAACTTTACAAATATAATTAGTTACTATGCCACTGATATTAGACTAAATCATCTTACTCGTAATTACAAATGTGGTATTAAAATCATATATAACAACAAAAGTTAAGAATTATCACTGCGTGAAGCGCAGGTCAGAACAGGAACAAAACCGTGGAGAAGAAATAAACGAATTAGGGTTTCGACCAAAGATGGAACAAGGAGAAGAGAAGAACGAAAATATCACGAGAAAAAGTGGAAGACGAAGTGAACCATCATCGTTGTCAAAATCAGCATCGTCCTTACCTCTCGACCTAACCTCAGAGATACTCTTAAGGCTGCCTGCGAAGTCAGCTGTGAGGTTTCGTTCTGTTTCGAAGCTTTGGTCATCGATCACCACTAATCCATATTTCATCAACTCGTTTCAAAGTCGACCAAATCTTCTTCTCTTCTTCAAAGAAGGTGAGAGGTTATTTGTTTTCACGCTTCCTCAACACAATCGGAATCCGAATGGATCTTCTTCTCAGCCAATAGATAGTTACCATATAAACTATCCAAATTATCGTTCCTTCACCATTAAAACCGAGTCGGTCCACGGCTTGATTTGCTTTCAAAAAGCAGGAAACCCTTTAGTTTGGAACCCTACTATGAGAAATTTATTACCTTTACCTTTACACAAACCCGAGAAGAGTTGGAAGAGTATGAACTTCTTTTTAGGTTATGAGCCAATCGAAGGTAAATACAAAGTAGTGTGCATGCCGTGTGGTAGAGCTTATTATGATGAGTGTCAGGTTTTAACATTGGGATCAGATCAAGAATCATGGAGAACGGTCAAAACCAACCACAAGCGTGGCCCTGTCACTGTCCATCGCACAATTTGCTATGGACAATGCAGATGTATCAATGGTGTTATATATTATCTAGCCAGTATTAATTTTGTTACGGTTATAATGAGTTTCGATGTAAGATCTGAAAAGTTCGATGTGATAGAATTACCATGGGATAATCAGCTTTGGCCTATGATGTTGATATCTTATGAAGGAAGGTTAGCTTGTCTTAGTTCCAATGGGAACAATAGTCGTTCAATGTGTGTTTTAGAGGATTCAGAGAAACACGAATGGTCGAGTTATAACCTTTTACCTCTTTCTCACTATGATCCGGGTTCCGAAAACCTTTTCAAACTAATAGGTATTACTAATGATGGTGAGCTGATTTATGTACCAAAAGCGGTGTTCAAATCTTTTGATGTCATATATATTGATCCAAAGAGAAAGACGTTTAGGAGAGTCGAATATAGAGGAATTGGAGATAAAGATTTTAGACAACGCAATGAACTTGGAGACAAACCTCTGCGTGGGCTTCAATTTTATCCTAATCACATTGAAACTCTCATGTCTATGTAGTTTTTTTTTTAATGGTTTTCTTCTTATTTTTGTAATGACACTATATTTATGCAACCTTATGATTTCTTATCTTTCAATATCTTTACATTAGGTTACCATAAGTTTCAGACAATCGAGCCAGTTGATCATCCAATATAGTGCATCGGTCACTGCACAACGAGGATGTTACCGTAACCACTATAGGAAGTTGAGTCGTGGTCAGAATAAGTCGCCATTCAACTTCGTTACTCAACCATTTCACTTCCCCTACGTACACACATCGAATCAATGGATCATCAAACAAAGAGATAAAAATTCATCAAGATTAGTAACTTAACTTTAATCTATATTATATGAGATGGTTATATATACCTTGACTAAAGCCACTACCCACCAAGTACATTAGCATTATTACCAAACCGTACAAAACCTTTTTCTCCATTGATCGATCCTAATTATATCTTTCTCTCTCGTTTTTCTTAGGATGTGTAATCTGTTGCATTTGTTGTCTCGTTTTATAAGCTTCAAAAACGTCAATGGTTTTACAATTGAACAATAATTAATGACCAGTCAACACCATCTCACTTCTTCCTTACTTAGCTGTCTATACGTAATAGAATACTCTCTTTTTTTTGTTCAAAACTTAATAAATACTGCTAACGTGAAATACATGTTACTTTTTTCATATCAAAAGTCAATGGCTGCATGTTATGGTCTTATGGGGTATTTTAATAACATATAAGAATATTTAATATGTAAATAGTCCAAACATTGAAATTTGAAATACTAATTTTTTAATTGGAGATAACTTTTTATTTTATGAAATTCCTATACCTTTTATATATTTTTTGAAAATCACATTTTAGAGGTAAACCTTAGAGTTCTAAGAAAATTACGAGTGCCATCAGAATTTTTTTCCTTGAAAACAAAATATTTTTAATATTGGATCTAGCTTCGGTGTGAAAACACAAAAAAAGGGCTAGATTTAAATTACTACACAAAAAAAAAATGGTACAATTATTAAGAAAGTCACAACTCAATTTTTTTTTTTTTAAAGAACACAACTCAATTTCACATAATCCTATTATTGGTATTTAGTATTTCTAACAGTTCATTTTAATATTCCGACTTGTGGTTGAATGTCTTTTATTTCGTTTCCACACTCTTGGTCTAGGTCTAGCTGATGAAAATGCACTTGCTCATCTCTATTATCCAACCATAGTTGTAATTGTAACAGCAGGTTAGGAAGAAGGTGACGTCTGCTTTCTTTTTTTTGCTTTGTGCTTTATTAGAACAAAAACCGTACTCAATCAATGTTATGACATTTTTAAATTGAGTGAATTGTTACAAAGTGTAAACACGTTAACTGTAGTATATATAATAACTCAAACAACAAGCCCGTCTAGCTCAGTTGGTAGAGCGCAAGGCTCTTAACCTTGTGGTCGTGGGTTCGAGCCCCACGGTGGGCGCTATATTTTTATATTATCTCCCTTTTTACTCGTTTGAAAATCATTAAAAGAGAAATATGGACGAATGGAATCAATGAGTATCAGATTATGTGATTATACTAGGCATGTCAATCGGGCTAGCCCGGCCCGGCCCGGAGCCCGGAAAACCCGTACATATTTGAGCCCGGTCCGGCCCGTAAAAATTCCGAGCCTATATTTTAAAGCCCGGCCCGGCCCTAACAGGGCTACAGGGCTTTTCCGGGCTTTTTTGGGCTTTTCTTCCGACAACAAAAAACAAACTTATAAGTGATAATATCTCTTAAAAAAGAATCTATATATGAAACGAATCAATCAAAATTTAAATAACCATTAACGCTAATTTAGTTTTTTAAAAAGAGAGTTAAAATCAAATAAATAATCCAAATAAATTTTTAAACTTATACTAGATAAAATATAAAATCAAAATAATATAAATTAGGTAGTAGAGCTAATATTTGCTTTTTCGATTGATAGTAATACACAACAAAAAAACTATGTTTAGAGTTTTCAACTCTATCAAACAAATTTTTTACAACAAATCTTACAATTAAAGGAAAATATTATCAAAAAAAAGATCAAAATATTTTTTAAAGGGCTTTTCGGGCTAGTCCGAGCCCGGCCGGGCTAAGCCCAAAAAACCCTTTAGCCCGAACGGGCTTAGCCCGAAAGGCCCGATTTTTTCTGGACATATATTTTTAAGCCCGAGCCCGCTGTTTTTCAGGGCTGGGCCGGGCTAGTCCGCGGGCTTTGGCCCTAATTGACATGTCTAGATTATACAATAGTTAGGCATTTGGTTGGTTCCAAACTCGATTGTTTGGAAAGATAAGTAAAAAAATAAATAGAATTATATATGGTAGAGAGAGCCCGTATACATGTATGTGATTGTGATACACGAGTCTAATGTAGGAGAAGTCTGTACAGTACCCCATTTGCAGACGTTTATAATATATATATACACACATATTTCTTCTACGATATGATTACCAAAAAACCTACACCAGAAAATTTTGAACAAAATGAAATGTCCTCTTTCGCCAAAGCTGTGGTTGATCTCGCCCACCTGAGAACAAAAGCATGTCAAATTAGATATCAGACTCAAAAATGCTACCACTCCCGATTTTCGTAAACGCAAAAGCAGGATGCTAAAATCATGAAACTATAGCATGTACCAAACTAAAACTGACATTTGTGTTTTTGTTATGTTCAGAGATTGGTTAGTGAATACAAAACACCAGATATTATCTAGCCATTAACCATTAACCATTAACCAGTTGTGTTTAGATACTTGAACAAAAAAAAAAAAAAGCAAAGCTTTGTTAAAGCAAATGGAGAAGAGTTTACCGGGGAGGCGAGAGGAGACATTGGAAGGTGAGAGAGCTCAAAGATTCAGACAGCTTCTTCAAGCTTTAACTTGAGCTGGTCGTAGGGCTAGTGCCAAAGGATGAAGATGGTGTAACTGAAGCTGGCATTTGTTGAGAAGCTCCTTCAGCCCAAGAACTCTCAGAAATTGGGGAATATGGCCTCGTCACTTTGTTTTTCACCATTCCCTAAAACCAATACAATAATTAAATCATAATATTGATTTGGTTCCTTGTTTGGCATATAATTTCCACCACTGTAATATCAGTTATAACATGTTAGGGCCCGATTACTAAAAGGGTGTCACTACGTAATTAAAAGTGAAATAAAGAGCTCTTCTCACCTTTAAAGCATTCTGCCCGTACAAGTTAATGGCTTGATCGATGGCTGAGTAAACATCAAAGGCCTGCTTGGTGTTCGGACTGCATTTGACAACACGGAATTGTTCCTTCGGGTCATGTGGCTTTGCTTTCAGATAGAGAATAAGCCGCGAAGGTGGAGAGTTAGGTTGGTCTTTTTTCCCGTCAGTCAGTTCCATGGTTACCAAATCATTCCATAGAATATCCCACTGTATAGAACACGCATCTTTTGCCGGAATAAACTTTCTTTGACCCATTATGTTGGAGGGTTGCTAGAAACATTAAGAAATTGCAAATTTCAATAGAATTTCTTAGATAGATACAGAAGACGAACAGTATGCCAATTAAACATTATGCATATATAGACAGCAAAGAGGTTTTGTCTAACTCACTTGTAGCAATATCACTCTTCGATGTGTGATCATCAGAACTTTTCCTTTTGGTAGGATGAAATGACTTTCGTAGGCATCTGTTAATGCAAACTTCCCGCGTACTTTAAACAGATCAACCTGGCCCAGGAATGATCCAGATTCTGCCAACTGCAATATGACCTGCAAATGCAAAATATTGGAAGATTGAAATTTGCATAAGAATAATCATAATGCTAGGTAAATCAAACCAGTATATTATCAGCACCAGTAAATCCATTCGTCATCAGCTAACCAAGAGCAAAACACGACTAGTGCAAGGGCAGGAAATACAAATTTGAACAGATTCATGGGTAAAAATTGTACCTGCCCCTGTGCTCTGTATTCATTGTAAGGACGAAGCAAGCTATCAGCACCAACAGCTCTTGGAAGTCTCCGGCGAAGAAGTTGTTCATCTGAGGTGATGGCAGCTGCTATCTTCATCCTCATGGCATTTGCACCCTCGGTGGTCTTTGACAGAAGATCCAGAACTCCGCTCACAGGCTGGGCAGCAGCACCAATGATTCCTTTCCCAAACCCGGAGACAAAGCCTTCGACACCAGAAGACTTTGCACCTTCGAGAGGCTTTGTCAATATGCCTGTGACTCCTCTAAACAGGCCTTTTGCTAGAGCTCCACCTCCTTCTCTGATAATATCGCCAAAGTCCTCAACACCTTTGTTCTCCTGCCAAATGCAAGAAACACATGAGCCTGTACTAACAAAATGGAGCGCAGAAAAGAAACACTGTGGCAAGCCCATACATTCGTTTAGTATCAGAAGCCATGATAACATTCAAGTGTTAAGAGGAAAATTTTGTACATATTAGGCAAATGGAAGGAAACTTGTATTGTTTATGTTGTATCTACAGGGAACAGCAACATGCACAAGCAGGAAAAAACAAAGCCAGGAAGAAACCTGTCTCTGTCGACTTTGGATGAATTTCTTATCCATTGATAATGCAGCTATGCCTTGACTCATATGTCCAAGTGCACTGCTTGCGTTGCCAAGAATATCAACACCTAAGAGCAACTGAAGAGGCTGACCAAGGAGGTCTTTCTTTACGTTCCTAATAGCATTATTGATCATAGTACTTTGGCGCATGGATATGTTCTCATTAATTCTCTCACTTATGCGTACCTGTTTGAAGATAAGAAGAATTAGAAAAAAAGAAAAATACATACTGGGTTGGACTGAAAGTGTAGCAAGTAGTACATTGACAAATCAAATTCTAAAAACTACAAAACTTGTCGACTATAATTGGTGTCCTACTGAGTACCAAGTAAAAACTAATGGACATAGACCAATGAATTACTCTGGAATACTTACTGGCATGTTTTCTGTATTCCCAAGAGCAGTCATCAGGGATGACCAAAATCCAAGCACTCCCCTCGGCCTCTGACTGGGGGACATCGCCATGGATACTTTAAATCTAACTTCCGAGATGTTAAGAAGTCTGCATTTTTGGAGGGGTGTAACCAAAATTAAGTCTTGTGAATGGAAGATTCACTCCGTAAACAGCATATATATATATATATATCAAGAAAATCCCGTACATACCCGATTTGAATGAATGGATCAACTGATACAGCCGTCGACTTAGAATCGGATAGTCTACTCAAGTTGGCTTGCTGGATCATCTCATGAATGCGCCAGATAATAGGTTCATGAATGTTTATCAGAAAGGCAGTATTTTCACGTCCCTATTACAGAGATATAACAATGTGAGCAAAATTTTAAATGCAATAAAGAACTGTTCAGGTCGAAAACAGAAACTGTATAAACTTACTTGGAAACCTATATACGGGTAGACACGGAGATCGAGGCCAGCATTTGATTGCAAAGTAACAGAAAATTTCAAAATGTAATCAGCTTTATCTCCAGTTTTCTGTGGTCTGAACAAAACTGGCATTGGAGCCAATGGCAATTGGTTATCAACTTGTATTCCTTGAATCCTTAGTTTGAACCTGTAAAACAATAAGAGTTTAGCGATAGCCCAGCGTGCTTTGTTTGTATAACAACCAACAGAATCTGATAAGCGCAAATGGCAATTCATGATCTTAGCAAATGTTTTTTCCTGCAAGTCTCAAGCAAATCCTTTTCTGCATCCTAGATGTTTGGAACTTTTCACACTAATGAATGGCCATTTCAGAATAGATGAATTGGTGATATATGATGGCCCTTGCATTTGTAAAATAGAGCTACACCTTAAGAACCTGATAAACTCACCTGCTAAGTCCAGAGCCCAAGCCGGTTGAATATGCTACAAAGAGGTTTTGCACTGACATGTACAGTATTTCCTCAGGAGCATGATCGATTACGGAGATTCCAAGATCAGCAAGCTCAACAATAACATGAAACTCAGAATCTTCCGAGGCCAAAAGATGAGATTGCTGAGACTCATTTCCAGATAATTCTGACAGAGATGCTGCTGGAAGTCTTCTGCTTATGCTTGAAGTAGGCTCAATTACTGGCATCCAGTCACTGATTCTGACAATATTCTTTTTGTCTTCCTTTAAAATAGTAACTCGTATGGGTCTGGTAGGTCCATTTTCACTTCGTGGTGGATAATCACCTATCTTATCAATATCGAACTTTTCTGAATTAGAAGGATCGTTTCCATCAACAAGGAGTTCAAATAGATGTCGTCTACCAAGATCTTCCCAATAAAACGAAGCAGCCGCGTTAGGAGGAAGAAATTGCCAAGACTCGCTGACACCATCAACTTGGCGATAGCGAATAGGAAGAAACATGGAACGGTTCTCGATCCTAGGAGAGTTGATTCACATTTTAGTGAATACAAAAATATGTAGTCAGATATAGTAGTGAAAAGACATAATTATAGGAGAGGAATACACATTTGGATTCAGCTAACATGATGCATCATTTTATAAAAAGGAATTCATGCAGGTTCTTCCATGAACGAGTTTATTCACCAAAATAATAACAGTTTTCGAGGAACACATGTGGCAGAAATTTTATTAATCTTAAATGCACACATGATCAAGCAGTTGGAAAATGTACCATCAAAATAAATCCAAGCAAAGACAGTACAGTAACGTCAGACAAAAGATATCATCTGGTGGATAACTGAAGCATGTATGTTTACCTGTAAGGGCCAGAGATAGAGTTCGGCCTGAAGATAACTTCATAACGTGAGTTCTTTGTCCCGCTTCTGACTTGTACTCTTAGCTGCAATTGATCAGTCCCATCTTCTTTTGCAACAGGGACACGCATTATACCTTCGCTAAAGACACTGAATGGCGTGCTCCATCTATATCCCTTTACTCGTAACTGAAAGTGTCCATCCGCTGTAAGCACATTAATCATCATTAAAAAAAGGTTACAGAATATGAAGGTATTTAACATACTTTCAGCAACTCAAGCCGGGTGGAAGACTGCCATCCAAAGAGTTTCGGAGGATCAGAAGGATTAATCCATTCTTCTGTCTGACAATCGCACTGTTGAAGACAGATGCTCACGCCCACCCTGTTGATGAATAAGGTGTGTGGTTGGAGATGAATAACCTGAAAACAAAATATATAGTCATCTAATGTTAAATTGAGAGTCGGATAATACCAAGATTAACTTGATATTCTGACCTCAAAAATGCTAAGCGTCAAATTACTATTAAGCATTGATCTGCCTCTAAATCATCTTGATATAATATAACACGGATATATAGCAACCTTATGTATACTTTTCACAGAAACAGGAGAGATAAGACGGAGGCTAAACAAACTATTGTATGTAAAGTTAATCATTAGGAGTCTCCACAACCAAAGAGCGTAAATTAAAACCAACAGGAACACTAAGCAAGGGCACACATTTGATTTCAGACAAGGTAATTAGATTAATGTGCTAGAACAATGAGAAAATAAAACAGTGATATCTGACCTTTGTTCTGTCAGATGTCATATTTAATACTGCCGAGAGCATGTAGTATGAGGCGTCTTTGCAGAATGCCTTTACATCTATGCGTTCCTGGAATAGGATTTGTGGTTAACAAAAGGAACGAATAAATGCCAGGTCACCCAACCAACTAAAGAAAATGGTGACTCAGCCAGAACTAGGAGGGAAATCTTTCATACAGAAATGAGTCGGAAATGATTTAAGAAATTAAACACAGCCCAGGAAAATTTTAAACCATTAGTTTTCAGAATATCATTTAAGCTTTAGCTAGTCACCTTCTTCTCAAGCTCAAGGAGAGAAATTCCAGGACTGTAATTATCAGAATCCCGAACTGCGACAGCAATACCAATTCGTGGGGAGACATAAGAATCCTTCTGAGACGGGAACAGCACAACGCCACTCCGGCCAGCTGATTCTTGTGGAGAAAGCATGCTAGGCATAGGACTAGTATCCTCAATAACCTCAAGCACTCGGACATTTTTCTTCTGGTGTCTCCTCTCCATCGAAAAAACAGGATTTTTCTTAAAAGATTTGGAAGCCCTAGTCAGACAGGGGGAGCCAGCTTCCACATTTTCTGAAGGTTCAATCTCCACCACTCTATAGCCTAGAGTTAGATATGAATCATTTGTAATCCAGTATGGGACAAAGAACCTTATAGTCTTTGGTGCAGCCCCTGTTTCTCCCACATCGCGTTCTATACTTACACGCAATCTCCTGAAACTCCAAAAAAGAGTGGAAAAAAAAATTCATTTCATGGAGTATGGTATTAGGGTATGTAAAAGAAAGAAATATCTTCATTCGATAATTCTCAACATACTAGGTTCCATCAATAAATAAGATTCAGCTACAATCAAGATTCTCCTAGGGATACTGCTTAGTTGAAAAGAGATACGGATATAGATATCCTTTCACGATCACGACCCATCCATGGTCAGAGCCATAACCCTAACCCCAATACTTAACAAGCATATATTCAATTTAAACAATAAATATGCATATAATCAAATACCTGGGTAATAAGCAGAGATAAAAGAATAACAATTCCCGAAAAAATGAGCGGAAAAGAGAAAAGAGTTACGAACCTTTTGCTCTGTTGATGGACGAACCAAAAGGATGACACGCTGTCATTTGAAGATATATCTAAAACAGGAATAGGATCCTACAAAAGAAAATTGAAATTCAGTAATGTTCTCAAGTGTAGGTAGTTTCTTTTGCAGAATATAAAGGCCAACCTTTTCCAAAGCCCAACCGCCATGGACAGCTAGCGTAAGATATACAGGTCTCTGAATATCTGCTGAATATACATGAGCACTCTTCCTTGAGGATACTACACCATGTTGTCTCTCGAGATATGTTCCTTCTTTCGTCTTTTCCCACACTGTGAATTTGACAGGACAAGGAAGTCTATTTTCTAGCTTCAAAGGAGAACTAATAGAAATTTTCCAATCATAAACAGGTGTATTGAGGTCTGTATGAAGAACTGACGCATCTGCTCCTACACTGAGCCATAATGGCTTACTCCCAGTAGAAGGCTGGCAGCAGAAAAGCATATCCTTCTTCTCAAGCTGGTTTAATTTCAAAGAAAATGCAGATGCCCTACTGCTTTGCTTGACAGTATTCTGCCGAGTCAGCAAACCTTGATCAACAAAAGGTTGATCTTTTCCACAACCAGAACTCACTGCGGTGCAACAACCCCATGCATAAGAATGATGAGGGTTCTCAGCCTTTGGCCGGACGTGCAGGCACTGTTCATTATCCTTTGATAAACATCCCCATGGTAAAATATATGAAGATCTAGAGGCAATCACAGCATTATGATTGCTTACTCCAGAAGAGACATTCTGATCGGAAGATATAGATATCTCTAAATTGACATCTGAATCATTTACAACTGTAGCTAAACATCTGAATGTTGCGTGCTTTCTCCCATTTCTCATAGAAACTTCCATTGCAATAAAATCATTTTGTAGTGATTTTGGAGCAATACAGAGTGGAAGCAGTGAGCGAATGCTATGCCATGAGTCATCAGGGCGAACTCCAATCCAGAAACCAGTGTCTCCGTCAACAAAATCCTTACTTTCCATATTTCTTAGTGTGTTGGGGATTGTAGTCTTCTCAAAGTAAGATGTTGAGATAAGCAAGCACCCGTTGTCATGTTTATCTTCAGCATTCTTTATTTCATGATAAAATAGAGAATTGAGAATGCATGTTATAAAAGGTTGAGATATACGTTAACACACCCTAGTATAAATGAAAAACAGCTAACCTTCCTCTGAAGCGAATACGAACTTATATTCTCGGCATCACTTGATTGATGTAGCATCCTTACTGAAGCTACCTTTCGAAGCGTACTTTCACCATGACCAACAGGAAACGAAAGTGACCCAACGACTTCCCCTGTAATAGTCAATAGCTAACTATCATGTAGCATTTGTACAATCTCGACTCATTGTGAACTCTAGGAAAAATGTCCAGTAATATTTTATTCACGTATCAGGTGCGAACAATCCAAGGACTCAATGAAAAATAAACAATGCCAATTCAATCTCAAAAAGAACAAAATCACACACATAAGGAATAGTTAAACAGGTCAAAGAAAAGAGCCTTAAAAGTAATAGGATTGAACCTTTTCCAGCTTTAGCAGCAAGGTTAGTTACCTCAACCTCCAATCTGGCAACTCCCTATAACAATTAAATTATATTAAAAAAAAAAAAAAAGATACTCACATGAGATAAGTTCCAAATCATGAAAACTGTTTCCAGTTTAGAAAGGAATATTGTCGACAGACATACCAATCTAACTTGTACCACTAACCATCTAAATCAGAATGTATACTGGGATAGCAACTAGGCTTAATCGCTTATGTATACCGCATATTTGAAGAAACAGGAGATATGAAGAAAGGAAGCATAATATTAACTGTTTCCTTATGAACTACCTTCCGCGGAATTTCAAAAATAAAAAGTTCATTCCACTTGGAAGTGCACTCCATCAAGTCGTTGACAATTGTAATGGACGGCTTGACGCACTTTGTCCTAGCACTTTGAGGAAAAAGCTTTTGTGGTTCTGCACCCTGACTATCAACAACGAGGCGTAGGGTGCAAAAGAAATTGTGACTGTTACCATCATCAATGATATGCAAACCCTGAACAAAAAAGTGAAAGTGCCATCTTAATCATACAAATTTCTAACAAGCCACTGTAAGTATTTCAAATGATGCTAAAATACTTGTATAGAAACCTTAGCCTCAAGAATCTGTACAGTCATGTAATTGCGTGCTTCTCTAGAACTGTCTGCAACATTTAACCTATTGGAGAACCTTGGAGGCGGAACCCAGACAGAAGTGTTTTCGTCGTGACACAATTTCACAACTACATCTGAGTTCTCCTCCAGCTTTTTCAGATAAATGTCACGCCCGAGTTTATTCTCTACCACAATGGTTTGAAAATCATCTTCGTCAAGAGCTGAAAAAGCTGAAAGATCCCCACTCTCACGAGAGGCAGCTGATTCCTGCAACACAGCAGATTAGTAAGTGACAAATTATGAAAATTAATACTTTCACAAAAAAAAAGAAAAAAAAATTATACTGTACTTCTTTCATTTTGGCCGCTCTTTCTTCAAGTTCTAATTGCCTTCTCCATGAAACAACGGCATCGCCAAGAGTTTCAAGGTTTGCAGCACTAACATTTATGTTCAAAATGTTAGTAGTAGCAATTCGCAGCCGTTTCCCTGGCCTTGATGATTGGTTCAGAGCAGTATCATATGTTTCCAACCTACAACGTGAAAGTGAGCAATCAAAATATTATTTCAAATACCAAAATTAAATGCAGTTTTATTTTCCAGTTAAGTCGCATCATAAATAAATAAAAACAATACTGTCTTTACTTGAATATTCCATCAAATGGCTCCAGAAGCGGCTCCCACGCTTCCAAATGCGGGTTAAATGTTGAAGCAGCAATTGAGGAAATGAGTACTGCATTCATGGCCTCAGGACGACCATGAGTTGCTAGCTTGATATTGGTGACAGTTGTGTCAAAGAGAGGAGTCATCTGGAAGAATTCAGAATAGGATCAAGATGTAAACACTGGGTTCCAAAAAATCGGCTAATAACTTTGACATATAACATACCATTCCATGTAATCCATCTAGAAGTGTCAGGGAGAAGCATCTCAGCTTAATTTCTGCATTTACATTTTCCTGTGTCTTCGGTTTTACAGATTCTCCAACAGCGAAAGCCATTCGACTTGGAGGCCTTTTATGATCAGAACGTGCAATAAAAGTACATGCCTACACAAGGTATCAGCAAGCTATCAAGATTGGAAAATACTTTTCACTATGTGGATAGTAGCTATTTCACAGAAACAGAAGGTCCTACAATTCAATGATAACTATTGGGAGCCTTTAAAGAAAAGAGACACAACATCAAAAGTTAAATGGGTTGTCCAACCTGATTATCAACTTTCCAAATGCTCCAGCATTGAGAAGACTTTGAACTTGAAGATCTCGTGACAAAAGGTTCAGAAATGTTGGCCTGGTTAACAAGATCGATCCTTGGACAACAAAACGAATCGACATGAGGCGCCTCATCAAATTTAGAGAGAACACATCCTAGAGAAACATAACCAGGAGGTGCAACAGGAATCCAGCAGAAAACTTCATCAAAGCCTTTCCCCACAATATGAGCGACTTTATTGAACTGCAAAGGTTTTGCAGCAATGTCAGAGTCATCTGCTTTGAAGAGTATTCCCAGTGCAGGTGGCTCCAATCTAATGTGAGAAGAAAAACTCAAAGGTTATACAACATTTGTATAAGAAAACAGTCCTTTCACGGTAGCTGTTATAGAGACAAAGTAAAAGTTAGATATTTACTAACCCTTCAATTATGCTATCACCCAATATTGCAAAACCAGGACGTGGAATAGGCCTCCATATTGAAACAGGTCTACGAAGATCACCACCCTTGTCCCACCAGATTCTCTCAAAATTAGGAGTTGAAACATGATAACTAGTTGGCTTAGAAATTGACCTGAGAATGTCCCATCCTGATGAACTTCCAGTCTGAATACTTGTTTCGCTCCGGGACCCACTTGTCGATGATGGGTCAGAGGATGAAGATGCCTTCGACTGAAGGGGATTCCAAAGAAGACAATGACTGAGGCCAGAGCTATATTTTTTGGAAGGAGCTGCAGTTGAAGTGTGAGCATAGAATGATCCAAGAACATTATCAGCACGCCAAATGCTGAATCCAGATTCCAATAATGAACTGGAGGGAACGGTGTATATGCACTCAGAGAAACTGCTGGAAGATACAAGGTCAGACCTTAGACAATAAACAATGTGATCAGGTGGTGGCTCACTTCCTATATTTGCAACACAACCCATAGCAGTGTACCCTACAGGAGCTACAGGCATCCAGAGGGAACACTCATTGCTATCACGGGAATGCTGAACATTAGCCCCGTCTAAACCTTGAATAACAGAGAACAGGCCAATACGATTAAACCCTATCGGCTTCCTCACACGCCCATATGTATTACTTACTGCCATTACAGCTTGTGTAGGAGGAATTGCCCTGTAAGGAAATTTTTTTAAGGAATTAATGATATAATGTAGCTGTAACCTCAAGAAGAAGAAAATATATGTACACTGAACCAAACTCTTGTTAAACAATTGTAAGCACTGGCACCAACATGTTACACCCAACTACCTGTTAAGCTAGCAACTCTAATATAACAAGAGCTTGCTAATTTCTGTTACGGAAATGGTTTGATATGAATTTTCTGGACGCAGTTCAAAGCTATTAATGAGTCTGAATAGATAAGTCATGACGAAACAAAAGGTTGTTTTGACCCTTAAGAACTTTTTTTGTGCATAGACAAATAAAAGGGACTATAACCATAGTAAGCTTTGTTGTAGGGATGAAAAAAATAAAGCAAAAGATACATAACAATGAGATATACATGCAACCAGATGAGCAACTTATTATATACTTACCTTGACGTCACACAGTCTCCCAATATGACATAGTTTGAAGGAGCCTGCGGCCTCCAAATTGTGAGATTGTTCCTAGGTCCATTTTCTGCTCACCATCCCCAAAATGAAATAATCAATGTAAAGGAAATAGACTAAATGTTCTTTATAATCTACAGTTTAATTATCTGAGACAGTTGCTTAAGTAGATGGAACATGATGACCAGAAAATCAAACAGCTTTAAGGTTAAACCGTGCCACATAACTTAACTGATGTCATACCTTTTGGTGAAACCCAAATCCTGTCAAAGTTGGTGCATGAAGCTAAAGGAATAGCATTTCCAGACTGTAAAGCTCCAGTTACTTGGCTCTGCAGATTTAGTAGGAGAGAAAGAGCACTCAAAGAAAGGTGCATGTATATGTCAGTGGAGGTTAAGGACATATTTGTTTTCTCTTTGACAGAAGTGTATCCCCCAGAGATATCGACTGGATCAAGAATGATAAGACCAGAACCAGTTTCAACAACCAGGTTCTTTAGCAAGGCTCGAACCCAGATGTCATTTTCTTTTGAAGCATACCTGTTGAAACAAGAGCAAAATTACATCAACATTGTAACACTTAAGATCCATTACGCAACTAGTTTAGAAAAAAGCTGGTTTTCAATGTCACGAGCAGGATGTAGTGGTGGTCAGATGGGGAGGTTACTTTAGTACAATCCTTTCCTTATACAGGCATATAGATAGAGTAATCAAGTAATCATATTTGTGTCTGTGGAAATATTGGGTTGTTGCCCTCAGACCTAACTGTCATGTATGACAAAATGATAGACTTAAATCACTGATTGGTTTAGAGAACGCTGCACTTACATAAAATTAAAATCCAATTTCACTCGCAAAAGCTTTTCTACAGCAGAGGAGTCATCCAGAGATGATTTTGTACCATCAAAGAACGTGAACTCAGGAGAAACAATCTGCAGAAAAACAAGCTATGAATTTGACAAACAGCAAAACAAGAATGTCTGGTTTCCTTATTCAGATAGGCCTGGAATCCAGAATTTGTGGTAGATTACTCAAAGAAGGTTGAGGAAGAGACCTCTATATAACCAAATGCTATAAGTCAAAAGGGAAAAAGAATGATACACCAAAATCAGGGAGTAACGACTCAATAAGTAAGGTAACAAGTAAAGAGAGAAACCATGCATTAAAAAATATAAAAATAACTATACAGTAGGCACTCAATACTTCAAAAAAACACGTGAAAAAACAAACGAAAGAAGTAAACCTACCTGAGCTTCAAAGGTAAAACTCTGACCAGACTTCGAATCATATTGACAAGTGTCTGCAACATCTGATGATTTGTGCGCATTGCTAAGCACATTCTCCGGATTAGATGAGGCATTTTCTAACATTGAGATGTCAACACCATCTTCCGGAGAAAATAAACAGCTACTATCGTTACTCAAGTAAATGCACTTGCTCAGAAGGGATCCATTCTGCCACATGCATAAAAGGAAAAACAGAAACAAACAGCTAGAATAAATCAAGAATCTAGGGAAAAGGGGAGTGTGGAACAATGATTACAACAAGAAAGTTCCATCTCCTATCCTCGCTATAGGTGCTTAGCAAATGTATAGAAATTTACTCTGAGCATGCCAAGTGACTATGTAAATACATAAGTATGTATTAAATACTAAATTGTTTAAAAGAGAGAAGAGTCTCAACCTTAATTTTCACATTGACGAAGCGCAACTTCTTTCCATGCCCAACGATTATGATGGGTTCTAATCTTCCTAAGTTTAAATCCTTCTCTCCTTGCTCACTCAACGAGATTACCTTTCCGCATCCGTCATAGGTATACTCATCAATGCCCAGTGAATCTGCTAATAACTGTCTACATGGGGACAAGTGCACGACATCTTCTGTCTGTTTATAGAGAGGCTCAGAGAGAACTATGCCACTACTTCTGGTGATTGGATCATTTGTTGGATCTAATGTTTCATCTCTTCCTGTTATTGCACGCAAAGCTGGAACAAAAAATTCACCAACCGCAAGAAGGAAGTCAGGAACAGCAAGGATACGAGGTTGTTGCACCCGCAAAACACATGACTGAGAGGATGCTCGCCATCTATAATCCATCAGCAACATCGTGGAACATGGTGCATCAAAATCAAGAACAGCCCTAGAGTTGGCTCGCTTAAAGCTGCCCTTATTAAGGGAAAAGGGAAAAGATTCAGAAGAAGCTTGCTTGGAAGCATCGACCGATGAGCCGAGCATCAGTCGCATTTCAGGCTTTGTGTTAGGGCGGATATCAAGAACTGAAACTTTAGGAACTGACACATACAAATCTGTCTCAGATAGTGATGTCATCCTGTAGGATACCCATAATCCTTCAAGCTGTGAATGAAAATTTGGTATCTTAGATATCTGGTATAGTTCCTAGATAACAAAATGTACAAGGAAATAGAAGCATTAGGCTCAGAAGCACGTACCGCAACATGAGCTAATGGTGACTCTTCATTAACACTATTACGTAACTCGAGAAGAGCATAATTGATATCAACAGCCAGTATGGTAACTGTACGTGACATTATCATCTGACTATTCAAGTTGACTTTGTCAGCCAGTAGACGCATTTTAGCTTTGGGACCAGAACTGCTACCACGGAAATCTGGAGGTAGCTTTGGCTCCTCAAACAAATTCATGGATGTGCAACTTACAATAATATCATATTCTTTGTCAGACATCACAGCATGCAAGAAATCAATCTGACAGCAAATATTGAGAAAATAATTAGTCCTAAGAAGTGACTGGATACCAGTAGTTGAGAATGTAACAAGTTTATCCATAGTATTTAGGGATGATAAACAAAAAAAAAAGACACTGTAAGATGACTCCCAGTTTCACGCTTGCCTAAAAGGCAATGATTAATATAAAATTTAAAAATTGTGATTATTCCATAGCAAGGCAATCCTTTGAAGATAATAACGTTTATAAGCATAGTCATCCCTAGTCTAGCAATACCAAAAAAAAACTTGCTTTGTTTAAAATCCAGGTTCTTGACACCGAAAGCAAATATTAGAAAGTAAACTTGTACCTTAACCTCAACCGAAAGTGTTGGGACTTTCTGAAAAACATCTCTTAGGCTGCGCCGGACAAAGATGTCCAATCCTTGGCCTTCACGTATCATTGGTTTACCAATTGAACCATTTATGCCTACTGACATATTTAGTCCAAGAATCTTTACAACAAAAACCAATATAAATAATCATCAGGCTAAAGGGTATTCATTCCTCATGTTAAATACAAGTGTTCCAAACTTTTTGTAATATATATGTACCTTCGCATGAAGAACATCTACACGTACAGCATTGTGATCTTTCTCCGGACCCCCATGCCAACTTATTTCATTTGATACCTCCAGCTGACCAAGGTCAAGTTGAATGTAACTGCAGGAAATAGAAATGTGTTGAGATTATGCCACGATTCAGAGAAAAAGTTGAACTAAATCTTTTGGAGATTCAGCTAAAAAAAAAGCAATATGTAGTAGGCCTCAAGCTTTCAGAATATTTAGACCTACAGCCGAAAGGCCAGAATCTACGTAAACTATTTAGATGTCAAGTATTACGCTGTGATAACTGATATACCAAGGTGTCAAAAGCGCTAGAGAGCCATGAAAAGTTATGTGTTATCCTAAACCTAATAGATATTTGATAAGATAGCACATTTTAAGAATTACCACACTCTATTTCTACTTACTCCTTGCTCAGAGAATCTCTAGGGACAACAATTATTGGAGTGTCTAACGAAAGGTCCAGTTTCACCGCAGTAGCACCATCCATTTCATCTTCTGGATTAGCCACTCAAAGCCTCCAACTTTGTCAACAAGTTTAATGACTTCTTCGGAATGAGGAGTAGCAAGTCCCATGAAATATGCTGTAACCTGAAAACCATTTCATTGGGTTGTTCCACAATAAAATGATGTCCAAACAAGAGCATTTGTATAAGTTTCGATTGCATTCCAAATCGATTAGGTAAGAGGCAGGTTCAGTGATCATGGTACCTCTTGAACAAATCTGTAGAGGAATACAATGCGAACAGCCGATAGTTTACCAGATAAGCTATAATCATAACCTTCATAGTCGTCGTCTCCAGCACTGTATGAACTGAATTTGAACTGCAGTGTACAACAAGAATCAAGCAGATGCACAAACACATTCAAACAAGAATCAACAATATCACAAAAACAGGAATAGAACCGTCAGAAACTTTTAGATAATATTCAATACCTTGATAAGAGACTCAACACCAGGATCACGTATGTCACAGAGCCAACTCCAACAGTTTCCAGAGTCTAACGACTTGTCACAGAGTTTAAAATTTCCAAGAGTCCCTTCTATTGAAAGAGAGCTCGGGTGAACCTTGAAAAAAAAAACAAATTTAGCCAAAATACTAGTTAACAAAAACTGATTCTCTGTGATTAAATCATTTTAACTAGAGGACCAACTACAAATTCAACTTTTGGAAACCCAATTACAAAAGTATCATGAACAAATTTGATTTTCTTGTACTATTGCATAGGGCCAAGATTAAGAGAAAATTATAATAAAAAAAAATCAAATACGTCAAATAAGATGCCCCAGGCCAATATATCTTACCTTAATGTCCAACACAAATCGTTCCTGCACAAACATCGCAAGCTGAGAACCATCCTCCTTGTTGAGAAACACAGTCACATTATCAACATTCATGTTCAGGTAAAACACTACACGATCCTTGCCATATCCAAGTAAGCCTTCAATGCGTCCACTTTCGTCATTTGTTTCTTTCTCACTATCAGATTTCTCAGGTACCGAAGTGTTGGCGTCTTTATCATTTTCGATATATGATGCAGTGCTCAAGTCAAATCCAAAACCAATTAGAGCAACAACAGTTGGTCTGCTACAAAAGAACTCCAGTTTTGACATGCGAATGCTCATCTGGAATTGATTTCAAACAGAACTTAGTAAAGCTGATAAGAAATATTTGCGGCACTAAGATGTCCTCCCATGGTCTTCACTACATACCTGTGTGTCAATTCCATTATAATCGTGGGAACTGGAGCTCCTTGTCAAGAAAACAACTGACACAAAATCAGAAAATTCACCACCCTGCACCTCATAAAATACCTCATCGCAAAGACCTTTTCCCTGAGATGTATCTTTTTCATGAAATACTCCTTCAGTATCCTGGAGTCCCACATGTTCATCGGAGTCCATCATCATGCTGCATTGAATCATATCCATATCCGGAGTACCTGGTTCTGTAGGTGACAGAAACTCTGGCAAAGCATCTGTGTAGGCATCTTCATCATCTGCATGTCCTACAGGCATCTCCTTGTCGAAAGAATCACATGTTCCTAATGAGTCTTGTATGTCTTCGTTCTTCAGGACCGAGTAAGCCAAATATTGAGCACTTCCTGTCTGCTGCTGCTGGAGTTCATCTTTGATTTTCAGAGAGTGCAACTTTGTCCTAACAGTTAAGCCACTCTCGGAACTTATCACGTGCACCTGCAAAGCAAACACAATTATGCCTCCATCAAACTAGCTTATAAGTGGAAGAAAGGCACACATCCAAGCAAAGGAAAACTTGAAAAATGGTGCTCCTAAGATATGCAACATGATTAGCAAACAATACACTAAGAACTTATCATTTACTAATCCTTAGTCAATGGCTCTGTTGGTAGTTTCCATCTCATCATCAATAGCTTAGCCAGGCTTAATGAATTGATAATACTTTAACCAGAACCCAAATTTCATGAGGTTAGATTGTCTAAGTTTCGCACACCCAGTAGGCCTTGTCCTTTTCCCCTTCTCTCCTTAGTACCCGCGGCACAAAACACACTGTATATAACTCACTACCTCAAAACTCAACGCAATGAAAGATGTCCAACAAACACAAACCTTTCCTCCGGAAGCAAGAACTTTAAGAAGCAGAACCTCTTCAACCTGCTCATCACATTCATCCTTGATCTGCGGGATATATAGGATTCAAAAAGTCAAGTAAAAAACAGGCGAAGTTGCTTTCACATAATCTAAATGGTTTGTCAAGAACCTACGAATGTTCCTAATCAATACGGCATGGTATAGAAATAGCCCGCATATAAAAATATGTCAAAAGTTGATCACAGCTAACCTTTCCATACAAGTACAACTTCGTCTCAACCAAAGCACCAGTAATAACAAGATCAGCAGCTTTCATATTCCTGGTCTGAGGTTCATGGAAGTCACCATCACCATCACTCGTTTGACCAAGTACATCCCCCGACAAAGGAGCCTACAAAAGGAAAAGATTTTTCAGCATTCACCCAACACGACCATTGCAGTAAAAGCCCAGAGAAAAGAAGAAAGGAGATTTTATAGACAGACAGAAGCTTGATAGGTGGCTTGGACCAGTCCTCTCAGCCAAGCTGCCTTCTCCTCCCCCTGAAATTCTATGATCCAGGTGCTAGAAGATTCCAGGGCCTGAAGAATGCATAAGATCCATCAGATAAACAGAAATGAAACTACCACAAACAAAGCAAGGTTGTAAAGTAATATGTGTGAGCTGGCTTTTTCTCCAGTATAACACCGAAAGCAACTTCAATAAAAGTAAGATCCAGAAAATCATAACACTATCAACCATCTTCTTGTTCAGGTTAGGTAGTCATTCCCCGAATTAGCAAGTATACCCAATTCACCAAGAGCGTATATTTTATTCCCTGGACAGCTTACAAATTTTTCGGTTCTATTATGACTCCTAATACAATAAAGCAGCTTAGCGTACCTTTTTAAGATCTGTTCCCCTTGTACCGACAGCAAGACAGTATGGGGAACCACCAACATTTGCGGGTGGAACCTCGAATACTTGCCTACCAGCCATGCTGCACATAGAAACTTTATACTTTAAACGTCTTAACACATGCAAAAGTCTTTGTATTTGAAAAAGTAACTTGACAAAAAAAAAAGAGAGACAGAGGAAGAAAGTACATAAAAGAAATAATGAATAAAAATAGCACAAACCATAAATAACGTTGATAGTCAAGTGACTTCTCTGATTCAAATGTATACAGATATAAACCAGATAGAACAAGGCGACAAGATTGCCAAGTAGCAACAGAGTTGCCAATTCCCTGAAAAAAGTATCTTCCATAAAAATCAAAGCTAATACAGATCACCCAAGCTTAAAAAGTACATATATATTATAATGGATACCTTCCAAACTAAGATTCTAGCATCACTAGCCAGATCTGCAGGACTCCAAGGTTGGATTCCATCTGGCATGTGATCAACAGGAGCTTGACTGTAAGTTTTCATAGCACCATACAAGATGTCGAACAATTGCATGATCCTCATATATCTTGTTGGAGAGAAATGAACACCAATATTTGGCACTTGGATCGAAATTCTAGTGGAGGGGTAACTTGGGTGAGGTACTTTGATCTTCAGCAAGAAATAGATCCGTGTCAAGTAGAAATGCCTCGTTGTAGCAATTGACTCTTAAAAATAAAATATCAAGCAAGGTAATACCTGATCAACAATAACTGCCATTCCACACCTATCAATAAGGGAATAAACGTTGTCCGCTTTCTCTAGAATGGGAGACAGAATTGTCTGATTAGTGAAATCTTCCATGACTAAACTGCAAACTTGGTTGTCAGATCCACAGTCTGTAAAGAAAGCAGCAATATCTCTTCCCGAAATGCAGAACCGGGAATATAAGTTTTTGCCTTTGCTCCTCAGACCGAGTATCCTGCAATTGTACAAGAAATATAAGAAAACAGAAAAGATTAAGAAACACTAGTAAACTCGAAAGGCTGGTCTAGAAACTTACCATGGTGGTTAACGTAAAATTACCAAAATCCAAGAGGAAATGGCTACTGCACTTGGACGATCCTGAAGCCCTCAAAGGAATTCTCACCTTTGGAGCATCAAGATCAATGTCGAGAGCAAATCTGAGAAACCAAAGGCAAAGTATAAAGGAAAGCTGGTGAAAATTATGCTACTTGTAAACAATGATAAAATAATCTGATCTAATTTCCAACAGACTACAGGGACAGAAGATTGTGTTCCATGCAACAAAACATTCCACTTAAGTCACTACCAAATGGTCCAACTCAGATCATATGGACAAAGACAAAAAGAAGGATATATAAAGCCCAGTTAAACTGTTCGAACCTGCTTTGTTCCTCCAACACTATTTGAAGTTGCTCTTGAGCCCGTCGAGTCACTTCCTCTAGTTTCATCTGTAATTAGCGGTGCAAATAAAATTAAATGCCATGGAACGTATGCAGGAAAATAAACGTACATAAATCTATGAATGTTCACCTCAAAGGATCATACATGTCTTATTTTCACCATGACAATATAAGCAAAAAATCTATGTAAGAGACAGGGTAAGGGTAATACCTGAAGCACAGCAGCAGTTTCCAGTGCAACAGTAGGGCTAACTGCATTACTTCGCTTCACAAACTCTAATACACGATCATAACTTTCAGTCCAGATCTGCAAATACGTAAAAACCTCCAGTTGTGCTCAAAGCAGTGGTGCCAGATAGAAAGACAAAAGAACAATATAAATAGGGGGCAAGGTGGAACTATTATGCAGAAAATTATCAAGACAGAATAAAATGAAATAACATAAAGGCCATCAAAAGAATCGAACTAAGTCAATTGAAATATTCTAGAAGATCAAACAATCTTCAGGAGCTACGTAATTCAGACGTATTCGGCGTCAAAAATAAGATTGAAGAAAACAAGTCTTCCTATCCCCTTGCACCAGGTTATCTAAGAAAAAAATTTATCTATTCTGAATGAGTGTTAGTGATCCCTTGGTAGCAGCTGGATTTGGTGTTAAACTTTATTTTGTCTCTAAGTATATACAACTGAATTCCAAACATAGAAAACATAGGACCACAAGAGTTACAAGTAATTCTTAAGTTCAAAGAAAATTAACAACATATAACCTTCTCCCTCCATAATTTCCAAAAGGGAAGCACGCAGCATACAGGGGATTTAAATTAAAAACCACTCTCTAAGGCCCAGACAATTGACAATTCCCCATTTTCAGGAAACCATGCACTTTATTCAATGCCACCAGCTAGATAATAGATAGAAGCTGCTATACTCTGGACGAATCTTAAAGTTATGCAAATATTAGGCAGATCGTAAGCGTCCATGTTTCAAGAGTATACATATAATATATGAAGAGATTACCGTAGCATGACAAGGGGATATCGTGGCTGATAGCCTCCAATCAATGTTCTCTCCAATTGGTGCGTTCACAAAACTAGCCATCAAGGCATTTGTCTTTCTCTCACTGGATACACTCTGCAAAGCCAATATGAAACAGAGAGGGGAGGAGGGAGGTCAAACTTCATTTTATAGGCAGGCATATAGTATCTTATCACAGATATTGCTGACCCTGTTTATATGGTGAAAATTGAAAACAAACCTGCGCTAGTGAACCTTCTGGTGCAGATAACCCATAGAACCTCAGTGATACATCACACTGACTACTTCGATATTTGAACTTGGTCGTGACATCGAGCTGCTCAAACCTACCACACAGCACCTCAGTCTGATTTATATCAACAATCCTAGCCGCACCTTGACCAATTGATACCGTTACAAGAAAGTGAGTCATATTCTGCATGTCTTTTCCTGAATACAAATTCATCTCTTCATCTGGCTGATGACTCAGTAACTTATTTATGGCCTTCCATTCATCTGTAGTCAATCCTTCCTCCATCAATTTTGATCCGTCAGCCACACTATCTACCTCAGGGTTATCTTTAGCTTCTGTCCGCCTTCATGGATATGGAAGCCACAAAAGTTAGAAAAATAAAATGGTTTCCACCTGTGATGTTGCATTCATGACTGCAACAGGAAACAGAAACTGAACAGCCAGAAAAGCAAGAAAATATATTTAGAAGGCAGCAGCAAACCCCACTGACCATTGGAATGAGAACCAACCACCCTTTTTCAGCTTTCTCTGCTCAGCTGCTTCTTTTGACTTTACAGATTCTACCTTTGCATGTGCAAGCAACCTATACGGCAATACAACAATAATAAATGATAAGATAAGTCGGACAGAAAAAAATACATAGACAGAACAATGACTTTGAGAATCTCAATGAAAATAGAAAAGAAGAATGGCTGAGCTTGAACTTCTTATGAGTAAAAAGTAGTATGATAAGACTAGTAGTAATCAAACATTTTATCAAATCTTTCTGTAAGTTTTCATCAATGCAGGGCTTGGACATCCAGCACATAAATTATTGCCACGGAAAAAGTGACCATCAGTGTACAAGGCATTCCAAACCACGCAAACCCAATAATTTGATAATTATAAATCAGCAGGTATGTCATTCACCAAGTTTGAGCATTACTTGAAGAATGAGTCAAATTATGTTATATTATGTTACTAAGGTAGAATAGCATCTGAACGGAATAATGTTCTAAATTATAAATTATACACCTGAAAAAGATCACAAACGTACCCAATCATAACAGGGCAGTACCAAAGAAACTACATCAGGACATAGATGCGAGCCTAACTACCCCTATCATAAGCAACAGCTAGCTTAACCACTAGGAAAGTATAAGGCAGATGTCTAAGGGTGATCTACTTCAGTATAATAGAAACTTAACCATGGTCATGTGAACTTCTCAAATAAATTTAGAGAAAGAGTCAGCGGGATAGAATCCCAATGGTATGCATCAGAAGGTGGGATTTGATCATGTTAAGAAACCACATGCTTTCTACCCAAAATATTGGGGTTTGATTATTACCTCCACAAGAGAATCACTTTGGAATCAAGGTCCTTTTCGATTTCTCTCATCTCTGGGGTAATTAGCATCTGATGACTGCTGCAGAAAATTGGGCATACAGCTGAATATAGCGCCGACGTAACTGGCAAAGATGGTGAATGCTATCACAGGAAAATCGATAGCTGAAATGGGGTGAATAAATGCAAAAATCAGATCAAAATATAAAATCAATCTACAGATCAAGTGCAGTCATACTTTACCAGAAGATGCTCAAAACTATGCAAGACTAAAAATCAAATAGCTTTGCCAAATAAATGCTGTCTTCTTTTTCCTATATGGTCAGTTAATCACTACATGAGAGAGAGTAAAATGAAACAAACGTGTACATAATCTCTTTTGTTGCAAAACTAGCTTGAGCAGCAAACCGACCACCACAAAGTGCGAGCTTCTGAAAACCGGAACATAGGCCTTAAATGTGAGATCTCTAAATATGTTTGTATCGGGAAACAACTTGACTAGCTTATCCCAATCATGCTATGCTCCTGTTAAGAAAAAGGAGAAAGACAAAATACAAGAGAGTTAGTTTCGCACCTCAAGAAAAAAGAAATCGCGAAGCAGATTAATGGGGTAAAGAAAGTTGGAATACAGAAAGAAGAAATTAGAATCCACAAGAAAAATTACGGCTAACCCTGAAGGAAAAATTAGGAACACGTCCCAAAAAAAAAACAGAACCAACGTATCAAGTACTTTAAGTGGTACCTCTGTAATAGTCACGTAACATCCTTAAGGATAACTGATGCCCTTTCAATGGAATCTCCGGAATTATTTCTCTCCTGATTTCCTAACCGGTGATACTTAAGAGATCCATTGATAGGGGACAATAGATAGTGACGATTCAAGGCCCATTTTGACTTTATTTTATGCTCGGTCTGCTCCTTTATGCCATCTTCAAACATCTGAAGGAAGACGGTCGAAAGTTAGATACATAATACTCAAAAATCATTTCATTTGACTAATAACCAGGGAAAAAACACAACCTAATCACCAAGAAAAAAGTATGTGTGAACAAACCTCAACCCATTCCTCAGGAGTAATATTGTCCCATTGCTTCTCTATTTCCCAGGGAAAGCTATTAGAATCATGATACAGAGCAAGCCTTTCAAGCTGCAACGACTGTTACAAAAACCATGTGCTAACATAAATTTTGGGTTCAAGTCAATAAGTAGCATCATCATCATTCATCACACTTGAGATATTCAATCAACAGACCTCGTAACAAAGTATATTTCAGTTGAAATCTCAGCATATCATTAATTAGCAACTATAACTAGCATTCAATACGAACACAGCAAAAAAAGGGAAACAAAACATTAGAAAAAATAACTAATTGAATAGAAACAAAAAAAAAGATATAAGAGAGCTTTTTATACTCCCAATAATTCTGGTATAAGAGCCTAGAAGCATTTCTAAAACAGCTACATCATTTATCCATGTCGTTTATGGCAGGAGAAAAATCAAATAAACATTCATTTTAAAAGCCCAATCAATGTTTTTATTGTATTTGAAACCTCTGGGAGATGAGCCCTTGAAGAGACCACAAAATGGGATATCTAAAGAAATGGGATGACAAGATTGTTTTCCAATTATGAAAAGAGAACTCCAACGTTCCAATGGAATCATAGCTGTTTATAGTCCAAAAACACATCTACTTTGAAATATGATGCTTTTTGTCAACTTTCAACTACTTCCCCCAATTAAGAAAAGAAATAAAAAGTTCACCTTACGCAGTTTATCCAAAGCGCCACTTGTGTCAAAGGTCTCATTTTCTTCATCCATTGTAACAGCTGCGAGCTTGGCTAAGGTGATGCCCGCAGCAAAGGGGTGCCCTGGATTACTAGAGCATATATTTTGAAATAAGAAAAAAGCTAGCACGTACTTCTGAGTCGTCTCTAATAAGCACCAACAACAAAGACACTAAAAGAGAGCAAAATAGCGATATGGCCACAAAATCAGAAGGGAAAACAGAAACAAAAAGGAAAACAGCCAAAACCTGGTAGAATCCTCGTATCTAATATGTACATTGCTGATGGATACTTTCAGATTACCAATAATCGTAGCAATAATCGAACCTAGCCATGAATTCCCTTGTGGAGGCTGAAAAGAACCAACCATAAAAGAGCTATAAGTTATAAAATGCTTAGCGTATGAGAATCATTTTATCTAGTAGTTAGCAAGGAGTGCATAAATCCTTCGTAAAAGATCATAATTTATCTTCTAATCAGATTAGGAAAGTTCCAGCGTCACACAAACAGATACCCCCTATAAAGAAAATAAGAAGATAACCAAAAATTAAGCTATCAAGTTTAGAGACG